TAAATATTGTCATACAATTGGCCAATAAATTAGAATTACTTCTATAGTCTTCAATGTACCTACTTGGTTAATTTCAGGGTCAATTTATTGGGTTCAAAACTAGGCAAATGTAAAATAGGCTAACTGAAAAATCTTCTAACTCTAAGTGAAAGAAAGGAAGGATGAGATGAGATCAAAGAAATGAAAAAAAATACCTATATACAATAAGCAATTACAGGTAGAGTGCTATATATAGAATTCTTCCAAAACTAGTTTGATGATAGAAAAACTAGGTTTTGGGTGCGTTTAGAAAAAAATATAATTGATTAAAGAAACACTTTCAGATAAAATTCTAAGGAACAGGTTAATTATTTTGCATATGCTAATATCATAAAGTTAATACTAGGTTTCTGAAGCTATTTATTTTGGTATAGATTTAGTTTTCTTTTATTTATTTGTGATTTTGCCATCTATGAAAGAAATTAATTTTACTTCGCTCCAAAAAGGTTAGTTAATGATCAAGGTATGCTGCTACAAATGAATTTTTTTAAATATAATTATTTGGGCAATTGTTGTTTCTGGCAAACAGTCCATAAAACATTAGTTGTGTGTATAGATTAGAAATGTATTTTTTTATTCGTTTGCAGTAGGTATTCAGTGTTTTTTGGCTAGGCAAAAATGTTTTCATAAAATTACCCCTGACCGATTATTTTGAAACAGGGGTTTATTTTACTTAACATTAAATTTTCTTCGCAGATGGCAAAATATCCAAATAAACAGAAAAAAGTATTATTATATTTCAAAAAGTTCTACTAGAGCATGACTAAATTTATTACAAAATTACGGACTGGTACTTATTAACACATTTTTATCGTTCAACAAAGAAATTAATTAGCAAGGATAAATAAATTCGATTCATTTTCAAAATTTCTGTAATTTGTTGTGGTTGCATAACGTATTATGGATATTATAAAACTTTTAGTTAACTGAAATTGTACAAGTACACATATCCTAATTATTCCTCGAATCTGTAACCTTGAAAATTCGCGCTGACCTTGTGAGCAGCCGAGGAACCAGGAAATGAAGTTTCCTTCAAAATATCGAGGCGCCCAAAGCGGCTGCACGTGTCGCGCCTGTCACAAACCAAAACAAAACACTGACGAACACTCACACACTCGCGGAGTACACTTCCGCGTCGAAAATAATAGGTTGCCGGGCGATATCTTCACCCACGTACGCGCTCGTAAAAAACGCGCAAAACTCGAATCCCAGAGGTCGACATTAATCGAATTTAATCTTGTTGCGGCGCGAGCGAACGCGCGAAACTGCCTGATCGACGACGGTCGAGAGAGCCGGCCGTCAAAGTCAAGCAGGCGGCGGGAATCAGCTGTTGAGATGTTCCGCTGTTCCGCGGCCTACTGTGCGAGTCCGGAGCGACGTGAATCATCGTGTTTTGCTGGTTTTGGTATGTCGGGGCCCCCGGATGAAGAGATTGTTCGCTAATTACGTTCTAATCATCTCGAAAGGACGTAGTAGGCTACCCAGCGGATTTTTGCCATGCAGTTCCCTGGCTTTTCTAGACATTCCAATACTATTTTAAAGGTCGATTTTCGATTTTATAATAAATTTAAAGTTTGTTTAAATTTGTAAAGTCTGTTTTCATAATCAAACTTTAAATTGTAAAGTTGCTTATTATTAAAGCGACTTTAAGAAGAGGTTTCTGCATCCAGCGCACAAACATTCCATCAAATGAGAGCAGCATTTAATTGTTTTTCATTAGTTTTTATTATTTTTCGTGGCTTATATTTACCCTTTCCTTTCCTTTTAAATTTCTAACCTACATAATATGTGTGGTACTAAAGTGGTTCATATACATCTGAACCCCTTAACCAGGAGTTTAAAAAGAATAACGATTTACGATGCTACAATCTGTGTTGGTAGTTTGTTTTTGTGGAGTATAATTAGTTTAAAATAACTTAATTTTTCTTTTGAAATTACCACCATTTTTTTTTATTCTTTTCCTACCGCTTATCAACGTAGATTTAGACATATTGTACATACTTTAAAAGAGAATGCAGGAGATCTACAGATAAATTTATAAAGCATTTTTAACACTGTACGAATTTATAGTTTTATAGACGTTCAAATCCATTAAAGTTCTATTCTAAATATTTTTGAAACCAAACGGTTTTGTTAAATGCAGTCATTATTCTCCTAAAAAACAAGGCTTTTTAACAAGTCAATACATAGTGGAAATACATTTGGTTTCAAATATACCTCTTTTACAACTAATTAACTGCAATTATCCTGCATAGAATTTTTATAAAGGAAGAGCAAGATTAAACAACATTTAAATTGTAACTTGAGTAAAACGTGTTAATTTTTTTGAAAAATATTACCTCTGACATAAGGACCTTCGTCCTGTTAATGAGAGGCAGAATAATGAATTGCTAACTAATTATTGCAAAAACCCAAACAACTATGAGGGATTTATTTAAATAATTGATAAAATGTAAAATTACAGGTTAAGTCACATGTGTTCATGATCATGTAAACATAAACAAAAATAGCTGGTTTCTTTCGGTTGCTGTTTTCGGATCTAAGCGCTTTTATGATCATATGATCCCAAAATCATTGTTTTCTTGTTTCCGGATCATTTCAGATTATATGATCAGGATCGGTAATCCCCTTTGCCCTATGAATCAAGCTTTTTCTGTAATTCGAACTTTAGATCACGATCACATATTTTATTAACCTTAAAATTGTGTTCGTGTCTTTTTTCTCTAAGACGGCAGTTACTATTTTTATTTTAATTGTTCACAGAAGAATAGGTAAACCTAAATGATATTTAAAATCAAATATCAACAGTAAACCAAATCCTGTTTTCTTCGAAATTGGTTTCATGGATCTAGTGTTCGTGTTTGTCTAATCCTGATTCAGGATTCAGTAATCATCATGATTCAAAGCTGAAGGCAAAAGAAAACGGTTATTGTATCGGGTATTCTAAAGCACATCAGCAGAATAACTTAAATGAACATAGAGGTTAAGCAGGATAACCCAATCTTAAAAATCTTTCCCCATAAACACAAGTTGATATGCCCCTAAAAATCCGTCAAAAAAAACATATATAACTTCGAAAAAATTTTTATTTCTACTAATTAATATTAGTATTTATATAATATGTACTATAATTAATATGATTGTCATAAATTATTTATTGGATTATAATTTAATTCATTTATTTATATTATAATATTATATATATTATAGTATAAAAGTATTTAATAGTTCATGAGTATGAATTTCTTCTGAAATTTCCGTACTTTTGCAAGCATACATTTTAACATTAACCAAACAGCATTCTTTTCGAAGGATTAAATTTTATGCGAGATCATCAGTTATCCCGTCGCAGAGAAAAGCGAACCATCATAATGCTTCGAAGCATTTCAATAGATAGCCTACTTCGTAACTTATTTTTTACTAATAATATTATAATTATTAATAGAAAAGGCGCGTTCGACACTGGTGTTTGAAACTGGACAGTAACGCTAATCCAAATTTCGAGACGTTTTCAATGAATTGGAAATTTTCGACAATGTTTTATTACTCAACTGAAGCATTCTGACTCAAGGTTATTTTTGTTGCCATAAATATGAGTGCGCTGAATGAATTTATTTAATATCACTTTGATGTTGGGTTTAACTTGATATATTGCAACCTTTAGATACAAATCAGCAATAATTTTAATATTGTTAAATTGTCCGGAAGCCGTTGTTCAATTTCTTTTGTTAGACGACATAAAAAGCTCTTACATCGTTCCCTCACATCAAATAAGTTAGTTTCTTGAAGCAATATTACTAATATTATTAGGTTATTACTGTAAATAGATTCTTATAACTATATGTCGATTTTGTAATTCTAATAATAATTTGTAAATCTAATGTCTGATAAAAAAAATTATATAATTTTAAGTATTTAAAAATAGTAGGGCTCTAAAAAAATCTAATTCTACATTTCCTCCCCCTAAATTGGAAACCCAAAGGTTTAGAATCTTGTGTCGTAGTATGAATTAAGCCACGCCCATAATTTATGTCTATTATTCGATCATCTTTTTTACGGACCGTGCGACCGTAATTACCTATGTTGTCAGTTTTGTGGATATTTGCTCATTTCTTCATGGTATTACTGTGCTGTTAAAAAAAAATGAAATGCTTACAAATGTAAGCAATTATTCACATATTGGCCAAACTGTCTGACTGCCGACGCTGCAATTTATTATATTAAGCGCCATCTTCCAATCATGGAAAACAACATTTACGGACAGATAACTTTTTTTTGACTGTCCAAGTTCCCAAATTCTTATAAGCTGTCCCTACTGATGCGCTATCTAGTGGCCACTCCCAAAAACTATTTAATACAAATCACAAAAATCAGTGATATAATTAGGGAATGCAGTCGACGGTGCTAAGAGCTAATATATTAAAAATACTCTGTGTTTGTTGTCAAGCTTTCGGAAATATTTATTTTTGCAAATCTAAGAGATTGTCCACCATTTCCTAGATTCCTAGACATCCTGTAAATCCACTTTATCATACTACGCGCCATCTGCGAAAAAATGTGTGAACAAGAACACTGCAACAGATACCTTTTCTGAATTGTTTATAGTCACCAAATTTCTAAAAGATGGCGTTCAGAAGCGCTATCTGGTGGCTACTCCAAGAAACTATTTACAATTGAAAACGGCGGTATACCCACCTGCAATCAAAAAGTTATGCTGCAAAAACTAAATATTGCTGTTAATGAAAATAAATTTTATTGAACAAAACATTCGTAATACTCTTTTTGAATAATGGAATGATAAAAGCAATCAATTCTAACAAATTATTTACTTTCTCATTTTTCACATTTCATTTTTGCAAACCAGAATTAGGGACGAAAATGTTAATGTTTTCCAAATTTCTTTGCAATTTGTATTTAAAAATTAATAAAACAACTTTTTTAAAAAATCACCATATCTTTTCTTAAGCTTTAATAATATAAATATAAATAGGCTATAAAAAATTATAAATATATCTACTATATCATCGTAACATGGTTGCTTTGAGCAATAATATATGTTTTTTTGGCAGTTTTCTTTAAATATATTTTTTTTAAATTAAATATCCTTAGGTTACATTTAACACCTTACGTCCTACGTATAATCTGAGGCAAGTTTTTTGGAAATGCATTCTAACAGAGCTTCGAAGAAGTTCGGAAACCCATCGTAACCTAAAAAAAATTAATAATTGCACGAGCATTCCACGTTCATCACAATATTCAAAGATAAATCTTGGAAAGCCAAGCTTAAAATCAAATGCAACATTCTACGTACCTGGGTAAGCATTTACATCGATGATTGCATATTTCCTAGTATTTTTTTCTATCACCACATCCACCCCTAACAGTTCCATCCCGAAAGCTTTCCTAAGAGTATTTGCTATGACCTCTAAAGTCTTTTCATTCGGCTGGACCCGTTCGTTCGTCACATCGTCCGGGTCCAAAACGGAAAGCCTACTTTTCGAGTCTGCTTTGGACACATCACTAGAATCGAAGTATATCGTTTCACTCTCGCACGCATGAAAGTTTTTCAAAGAGGGTCTCTCAACGAAGCAATGCCTCTCACCCGCGATAAATATCTTAAAGAGAATGGCGTTGTGATTGATGAAGCTCTGTGCGACACAGGGCGTCCTGCAGTCTATCAGGCATTTCTCGTTGAAGATGATTGACATTTCGTGAGCCTTCCTTGAGCCGTGACCCAGCAGAGGCTTGCAGATGAAAGGGTAGGTTACTTTGGCTAGTTTCAGTTGTTGTTTCAGCACGTCTAAATCATTGGATTGTAACGTGCAGAAGTTGGGAGTGAATACGTCAAAAGTGTAGAGGTTAGTGGAATGAATTATGCTGTAGCAGCTGTATCTATCCAACAGTTTCCTTACGTTCGGTAGGGGGTCTATCACTGTTACTGTTGGGTTTTGAGATATATACGTCTCCACTTCGAGCAATTGGTTACAACTCTGCAAACGAATAATTTCAATTGGTTTTTGTTCGATTTTTGACAGTTGTAAATTTACACTTGCAAACTTGTCTATAATTGACATTTGGCAACTGTAAATTTACATTGTAACTGTAATTAACATGACTAGTGGAAGAATTAATAACTGACAACAAACCTACCTTTATATCACCTAAATTTGCAGAAGCAATAATATCCGTCAACTTGTGCAATAATACACAGAATGGTTCCTGGGATTCCAAACTTTTATTCAAGTCTAGCTGTGAACAAATAGGGAGTAATAAATAAATGCGCGCCGAATTAATCGGGGGCATGGAAATTATTAAATTTACCCACCTTAAACAATTCGAACCCGTGACTGATGCATACAGCCTCGAAATCCTGCCAGTTAATTTTCTGTAGCTTTTTCTCCGACATCCAAACGGCTATCCGCTTGTTTACGGGCATTTTCTACTCTAAAAATTAATTTAAAAACTACTAATCTTTTTTAAAACATCAAGCACGCTTTGTCCGGATGAAAAATAAACACTGCCGTCAAAAAACATTGCTGCCAACCTGCTTCCCTGCAATTCCCTATTTTTCACTAATGTAATTCAAAATCCAAATAATGCATTATCATTCAACAAAAATTTATATAAAATAAAACGGTATATAGTCAAAATAAATTTCTTACTGTGGCACTTTTATTTTTAGATTCTCTATCGTTAAATTAAACAATAACATTAAAATTGAATAATTTTACCTGATTTCTTAGACCTATGTTTGTCTTAAACATAAGTGTACTTGTTCCACTTGTTAATAGTAGATTACAGCATTATTTAAATGATTTTAAAATATTTATTGGCTATGTTTTATTTACTCGATATCTCAGCTATTCTTAATACTGATTGGTCAATTAAGTGAGATTAACTGAAGTTTCAAGTAAATAAAACACGCTTATTATTATATTCTATAACTGGAATATTTCAGGACCACCAATAGTTAGAACACAAAATCCCCGTCGTAATATTAGAGAATAGTAAAATCTAACCTAACTTACACCCCATCCATAACGATAACGTAACCTGTGGTGAATTTGACGTAAACAAAGAAAATGTCTGATTATGATCGTAATAAATTTTATCCAAAGAAACAAATTTTTTCTACCAGAGTACGTATTTATTATTATTCCACTCGTACTGTATTTGATTTTTGTTTAAATTTGTAGCACACTACTACATTTACAAGAGGTTTCTCTACTGTAAAGTCTGAAGGAAGCTATTCAAAATTCGGAAAAGATTCAAGTTCTAAGGATACATCCAACGAGACTCCTAAAAAGCAACCTACTATACTGATAAAAACTAGAGAACCTACTGCTGAGGATGTTGTAGCATCTCCAAAACGGATTCAGAAGGAAGAACCAGCTTCTAATATTACAATTGTTCCGTCAGTAAAAGAAAACGAAGGTAAAAATTTAGGAGATATTAATAAGAGGTTTATAGATTTTATTTCTATTTCAGTACTAACTCCAACATTGAAACAGATGACAAAGTCGGCAAAATTAATAGATGAAGGAATATTTAGCACAGAATCTCTACAGGAGTACGTTCAAGAAAATAACGATTTTCTTGTTGTTGGGGTTATAGGATCACACGGGGTTGGTAAATCGACTCTTCTCAACCTACTGAGCCACAATGAAGTTACAGAGGAAATAAAAAGAACAGTTTTTAAGTCGGCTAAGAAAGATGTCGAAGATGATTTTGGTGATAATGTTAAAATACTAACCGAACACTTTGAAAAGGTTGATATAAAAAACGGTGAGCTGGAATGGACCGAAATTTTTAAAATACAAACTCTAGAGGATACAGAAAGTAGTTGTAATGCTACCCAAGGAATAGATTTTTTTATTACATCTAACAGAGTACAAATTCAGCTTTACTAATAATAAATCAGTTTGAAGTAACAGAACTGTTTTAGGTTATGTTTTTGGATTGCCAACCTTTTATGTCTGTCTCGGTACTCGACGATTTAATCCAAAGTGAAAGTAAAAGAACAAATTTAGTGAGCGAATTTATTCCTTTGGAAAACAGCGGTGAAATTCAAAGTTTGCAATTGACGGCTTTTTTGATGTCTGTATGTCACGTGCTTGTGGTGGTGCAAGATTGGTTCTTTGACAGCAATATAGTTAGGTAAACTATTTTCGGTAATATTATATCACGGTACATTTATGTATATTTAGGTTTATTCACACTGCCGAAATGTTGAAACCAACAATTTCCAATCCGGAAGACGAGTTAATAGAGCATTTTCCTCATCTGCTGCTGGTACACAATAGAGCTCAAATGGAGGACTTTACTCCGGCTAAATTTAAAATTATGCAGCAGGTAAGCTGTACAGTTTATGTCTATGATCAAATTTTTTATTTTCAATATTTTACCCAATTTTTAATTGGAAAAATATAAATTTAAAATTTTTTTAATGGCTCAAGCAATCATGCAAGATGTTTCTGAAAATACATACAAACGTGTTTCTAAATAATGCATTAATTATTTTTGTTTTATGAAAAATATAAATATTTGATAAAATTGTGCTGTCGCAATAAATTTTTTAATTTCTTGTACCTAATAGTGCAATTGTTAAAGTTCCTAAAAATTGCTAAATACTTGTCAAAAATAATGGGTGTGACATTTTAAAATTTATAAAGGCAAGCAGCAATCTAATATGTCTAATTACTAAACAATGAACATTAAGGATAGATAAGAAAAATTTCCATTTTGAAATTTCTGCTATTTCTAGACATACAAAATGCTTTTTCACAAAACTAAGCTGCAGATGAGATCCAATATGGGCCTAGGATCTGGTCGTATTATCAATTATTTAAACAAAGAAAATTGTGGAAGCCCTATAAACCTGTACCTGATTCCGGAAATCGATTTAGACTCCAGTAAGTCTTTAAATCTGTTATACACATTTTTATTGTTTTTAATTTGTTTCATTTGTAGAAATCATGTACAGTGGACATCCACCTATAGAGGACTTAATTAGGAGACTTAGGGCGATTATACTAGGCGCGACGAAAAATCCGTTAACCCACATACAACTAACGGAAAAGACTTGGCTCGTGTATTGCTCCAAAGTATGGGATACGGTTAAGAAGAGTTCGTTCTTCGTCGAATACACAAAACTAATGCCGTAGATCTGATTTTCGCACAACGGAGGAAATGGAAACAAACAGATTTATCAAAAATGGCAGTAAGTGGTAATTCAGGAAGTTCACGGCAAAGCGTGGAATATCCGCCTACGATTTCGATAGTTTACAAAATGTTTCCACAGCTGGCAGATTTTCCATGCTAAGTCCTTTTAAAGGTTCAAGATTGCAGGAAAAGGTGTAGTAGCAATTTCCTACACTGTCGATAACAAATAGTGTATGTTGTAAAAATTGTATGAGTTTTATTAAACATGATTTTTTACAATATATTTTTCTAGTACATAACAAATATTTTATAAAGGTCATTACAAAAGGCTAATAAAGGTGAATACACAATACATTCTTTTTTTTATAAATTTATATATGTATGTTAATGTGTGTGTAAATTATATTAAAATAGCCAATAACAAATGCTGATAAAGATTTAACAATTATACAGGGTGGTTCACAACTTATCCCAAAAAAATGTTTACTTATAATAAAATATTTACAGATTTTGAAGGAAAGATGTTTTAATTTGTTATAATTAAAGCACTACGTAGCTGGTTGGTTGTAGTGTATTTATTACATAGAATTTTAACTTAAAATTTTTTGGACACAAATGGCTAGGCACTATTACTGCGTGTACAATGGGTATTGTTTTAATCTATGGCAAACTAGGACAAAGTACAGAACCCGTGCTCATTATATAAAATTTTAGAGATGTGCCGTGGACATATCCTGAGGACACCTTTCAAGATTGAAAAGTTGTATGCGCATGCGTGGAATTATTTGTTGCATTCATAATTAAAGCAATAAATTTTTAAGGTTGGTACATGTAAAATTAAAGATAATTAGCTATTTTCTTGTAATGTTGGTAATTGTTTAACTGAAACTGACTTTAAAAATATAACCTCTTTTATATGTCCATATTTTATTATTTTTGGCAAAGTTAACGATTAGTAAATAGTAATTGAATAAAAATCATTATAAACGTAACGTCCGCTCAAAAACAATTTTTAAGAATTCCAGTAGGATGGAAAAACATTTAAATAAATGTATTGGCTGTTCGGGGAAAATTAGAAACCAGTTGCTAAAGTCTAAAGATAGGTAATAAGTAAAATATATCGACATATATTCATTAAAATAAAAGTAATATTTTACTTCGTGTACCCTCAAGCAGTGACCTGTGAAAACATGATGTCACTCATAGGTGCCTTATTAGATTCAAGGTCAAAAGTACTTTTCCTGACAAGTCCAGACATTTCATCGACATGTCCAACAGACATGTCCATAACACACTTTTCCGAAAAGTGCCCATCTCTATAAAATTTAAAATTTGTAGAATTTTCAATGGTAAATTCAATGGTGACCTTGAATTTGACCACATGTTCCAAGGTCAAAACTAAGATCAACTTAATGTCAAATAGAATACTCCATCTTTTATGCCAGCAATCGATACAGTGCTAAATTTTATATCGGAATTTGGAATCAATTTTTCAATGACCTTATAGATCATTTGAGTCAATTTAAAAATTTTGCTTGAAACATTTGCCTCCACAATTGGATCTTGTAAGAGTTATTCAGAGAAAAAATTTCTAACGCCATATTTGGGTATAAAAGCTCTGTATCGATTGTTGGCATAAAAAATACCCTATTTTTCTATTTAATTGTTCAATTCAAGTTGACCTAGGTTTAACCTTGAAACTTAACGTCAAAGTCACCAGCTTATTGGTTTCTTGATATCTCACAAATTTTATCTTAAAATTTTTTTTTTGATAGAAACCAAACTTGAAAAGTTATTAGGGGTTTCGCGCCTTTTTGGAACACCTTGTATGTATGTAAAAGCTAAATTTGATGAGGTAATTATTTGGAAACTTTGGCTATACTCAAAAAATCACATCAACAACAACTCGATGAGCTTTTATGAACTGAAATTGCGATAAGTAATCGAAGGATGTGTAGACTGAAGTCTAACTTGAATTGCAAAATATTCATGTTAAATATCAAAAATCTTTAGACAAGTGAGGATTGGCATCTAAAATTATAGTCTGTATTCACTTCCCACTTCATTTGAAGTTATGTTTAAATATTTCTACAGTTGCTCGTTCTCCTCAGGCATGTAAAGTTACTTCTTCACCCAATTTATGATATGTTATCATTTACGTCGTTTATACTTACAAGTCTGAATATCCTCTGCTTCTTAATTTAAAAATGCGGTGGAAGCACTAGGTACTAATATTAAAAAAGTAAAAAATCAAAATGTTCAATTTTGAAATTTGTAGTTAGTAAAATTCATAATTAATTGTTCCTTCGAACCGGAATTTGGAGAAGACTTAACTTTTTTAACAAAAATAAAATTTTGGTTCATTTTATATGGTAAAAAAACTACCAAAACATTTACTTAAAAACAGTTTGAAGCAGAGCCTCTTTCTAACCAGAATAGGCTTATACAAGTACCGACCACATTAGGCACATTTGGTTGGACCTGATGTATTTTGATAACATTGCCATCTAAAATTATAGTGTATACCCACTTCCCATTTGAAATTATGTTTAGGTGTTTCTACACTTACTCATTCATCCTCAGATATGTAAACTGTACTTCCTCACCCAGTTTATGTAATGTTAAGCATTGGAGAAGATTAATTTCTTTAACAAAAACTGTAATACCGATTTATTTCTTATAATAGAAAATATACCAGAACATTCATTTAAAAACAGTTTGAAGCAGAGGCCGTTTTCTGGCTGGAATAGGCTTATACGAGTGCTGATATACCGTAGCCAGCCTCCAGTGGTCAGGATAATCATGCCTCTTACTCTTCTGCAAAGAAAAAGGGGGTGCTAAGCTATCGATAACATAGTTCTTGAAACTAAATGGGTCTTTTTGTCTAGGTACTCTTAGTTTGGGGAAGTTTCTACTTACAATTTTTTGAGGGACACCTGCCTTAAATGCCATTTTATAGTCTGACTTAGGCCTCTTATCGTGCATGGGGATATTCTTAAGCTCACAGGCGATGCACAGTCTACGATTCGGTTGACTGTTTAGTTTTTTCGGACAGTTTTTGTCACTGCATTTATCGCCTTCGCTTAGATTTGGCGTACTTTGGTGAATTTTGTTTTGTACCGCATTATTGTTGCTATCTTTCAAACTCAATGAATGTTTCTCTGCATTGTGTAAGTTATAAGCACTCTTAGCACGCGCTTTTGAACTGGCTTTGCTCCCTTTGGAGTGAGCAGAGTCTTTATCGACTTCACTTAAGTTACTAGCACTTTTAGCTCTATGTTTGGACGAGTTAGAGTCGGATTTGATACTATCTCGACTTCTCGTACCAGAAGTCTTGGGCCTGTCAAAGAAAAAGTCTTTCAAATTATCCTCCTTGGTCCCATGGTTGAAAATTTGGGCGCAACCGTGAACCCCGTCGCATTTCTTTTCCTCTGGTTCCTCTTCTTCTTTCGGAGTGTGAATTAACGAGAAAACTGCAGGTGCGGCAGAACCGTTGGAGCCGTCTATGTGAGTGGGTGGTTTAGGTTCGTCTTTCGGATCTTCGGGAGTTAAATCCCAACATATGGCTAGATCCATAGGGCTGACTTTCGTTTGTCTGATAAAACGCCACTTCTTGTCAAAGCTGGTGATGCTGTTGTCATCTTTGAGGTCTCTCACATGACCACAAGTTTTCGGTCGGAATACTTTTAGTTTGGTACATCTGGTCGGGCCGTATCCTCCATATCCCTTCCATCCGACAGCTGAACATAAAATATTAAGTATTATTGGAAGTCAGTTTTATTAAATGCTATGTATCTTAAGAACTTTTGCTGTACCTGTTTCAACCTCAAAGTGTGCCAGTTATAATATAAAAGCCAAACAATGTAGTCTAGTCTAGGTGAGGGATACTAACGGTTATTGGCATCGTGTTCAATTTTCTTAAAATTGGTAGTGTCAGTTATAATCGAGTGTAATTTCAAATTATTTGTAATTAATAAATATTTACAAATGGAAAAGCCCTCATGAGTATCATTTAGAATGGCATTAAAGGACAGTGGCCCCAAGACAGAACTTTGGGGCACACCTGACGCTATTTTGATTATGTTGGATAAGAAAATTTCTCAATCTAACCTTCTAACATCTTTCTAAAATATAATTTTTTATCCAACCTAGAAGAGAACCATAAAATCCAAATATGTGAACTTCATAGAGTAAAAACTGACTGATTTAGATTCTCAAATAACACACTCAAAAGAAATCAAAATAAACAACATGCCACTTAATAAATAAATAATTGTAAAAGTAGTATTTTACCTGTAGCATAATTTTTGTCTTTTATGGATAAACCAGGCTCCTTCTCCTGCCTCTGCATTTGCATCTTGCGGTAGGTTTGATCAGTAATTGTATCGGGCAAAGGGTTATGCTCTAAATTTTCCTTATGTAGTTTTTTAGCTAGATTAAAATTTGATATAGCAGCAAGAATAGGAGACAATAACCTATCCTTTCCTGATTCCTTCGGCAAATCTTTCTTTTCACTTGGATTATATTCGGAATTTACCATTTCTTTATGTAAGGCGTAGAAGTCTTCTACCTCCTTCGTGGTGTCTTTTTCTGGTTCGGGAAAAGGTTGGGAGAAATCATCTCTGGTATTTGGGAAGCCTTTAGGAATTTCTACGTCTTTTTTGGGAAAACGATTAGCGGATAGCTCGTTATGACTGGACAATCGGTGCTTTTCTTCTGTTAGATCACCAGGGACGTAAGGGACTGGTTTTATATTGGTCTCATCAATATTTTCCTTGTTTGTATCCTAAAAAATATGACTAATAAAACAAATAATCATCATGTACGAAATTGGATGGAAAATTGTTGGCAATAAAAAAATTGTAAAAGATTTTGTTCTACATACCTCTCTTAGCATTTTTTTCTGTATATCATTTTGCTCAAGTTTTTCAAATCTTTGCTTTCCAGATTTTTCCCTATGCTGGTTTTCTTTCATCAAACCACTTAACTGATTAGCTGAAAATACAGGATTTTTATAGGTGTACAGACCATAAACATAAGAAATATATAAAAAATGAATAAAGTTCGTATACTTTTTAAATAGACCCCAAAAATGCATATTTGGAACTATATCCTGCTCAAAATCATATTCTATAACATTTTAAATTCTAATTTTTAACATTCTACACTGCTCAAAACACTTCTGTACCAATGTCTATATTAAGCTATAAGATTCATATATAAATTTAAAGATGTAGTAGGTTCTTGGAACTTTAATTTATTTTAATTATTGGTTATTCAACATTTTCTATTTAATATTAAATGGGCAATTCTCCCTTTCGCATTACTGATTTATACTTTTTTGACAGTGTTTAATGATAAATAATCACAATAAATCAAGCCAAGGAGTATAGATTGACATTCTGTTATTAAACTTCATATAAAAAAATTATTTTTGGAAGTAACAGCAAAAAAAAATTGTGGAAAGCACAAAATTTACAAATAAATGATTTAGTAAAACATTTATTGTGAAAATGCTAAACTTTCTACTCACCGGTTTTCCTATTAATTTTCTTAGGCATACGCCAAGTCCCAACGTAGTTACCCCATGGATTAGCACCAGACTTTTCGATGCCTGGGAGCAAATGGCCGCGATCATTGGCAATAAATTTGGTTCGTCCGCTTCTCTGACGAGGCCTGTCACAGGTCAATTTTGGGACTTGCCAGTTCCTCAGAACCCTAGGTTTATAGGCCGATTCAAACTAAACAGATATCATCAGTTAAAAGTGATTTAAAATGTTTGGTCATCTTAGAAGTAACCTAAATGTCCAGTTGAAGCACTATTAAAATTAACAAACATCTATTTGCATCTTTATACTGAAAATTTGTCAAACGATGTAAGCAATTTGAACTGAGATTTGGGCACTAAGAACTAAGAATAATTGAGTCCTGTGAGCATTAGGTCTGGAACATCTAGTGGATGAAATACAAACCAAATCATCTTTTTTGTTCCTACTGGAAATAAAATCAAAATAATTTTTTACTATATACTCGAAATCTGACCAGTGATAACAGAGTTCTGTGGTTACTAGGTCTGTTGGACAATTAAAATTTTTCTGTATTTTTTTAACTCCCAAATTGAAATAAAAGGTCAAAAAACCTTTCACCTCATACTAAAAAGCAAACACTAAAACCTAAACATAATCGAGTTCTGTTTGTACCAAGCCTGGAATATCAGCGGGATGAAATAATAAAATTTTTTTATTATAAGGATTAATCAAATCTAGTTGAAACAAAAAGATTTAATAAAATAAAAATAACTTTCCACCCTATATTTTTTATGTATGTACAATAAATTAAAAAAAAAACGATTGCCAACTATTTTCTGTGAATTTTTTCCTTCCTCTTTTTCACATGCTTCTTCACTTTAATTTTCCTCTTTTCTGCTTGTGCATCCTTAACTGCCTTTTTCCTCGCTTTTTTTTCTTCCAAAGTTTCAAATTTTGGCCTGGAAGCGTCTTTAAATTTACTTTCTTCCTCATCCTCTTCCGAAGATTCCTCTTCGTTACTTCCACTTTCTCCATAATCATCATCATTGTCGAGTATTTCTGGTTGCTGCACAGTACCGCTGAGATCGGATTTTAATCCCACGAGAGTTTTGTATACAAGATTGTCGGCAATTCCCGATTTGGCTTGGTTGATGTCTCTCTCGAAATCAATGACTTCGGTGAGTCGTTTCGGAATGTAGGCTTGTTTGAAAACTTCTTCTTCAATCTAAAAACAAATTACATCAAATATAATAAAGATAATTTAACAGAACAAATACCTGTTCTGTAGCTGTAATGTCGCCTCTCTCAGCTGCCTGTTCTGCCAACATATCCAGACACTGCTCCATATTGTCGTCATTAATACTTGGATCGGTAATAAAATCAAACAATTGTTTGATACCCATAGTTGCTACATCCTTCTTCTTAAAGTATTCGGTGATATTAGTACAGTCCTTCCTCAGAAATTCTAAAGCATGCGGATGATCGTGTTCAACTGACTGTGAAACATCGATAATGTAAATTTGACCGTCTTGATAGAGCATATTGAACTCTGAAAGATCTGCATGGACTAACTTGCATTTATTGTACATTTTCCACATTATTATAACTACGTCTCTGTAAAGTTGTCTTGCTTTTGACTCACTAAGTTCTACATCCTTCAATTTAGGGGCTGGCCAGCCATTTTTACCGATAAATTTCATTAAAAGCACATGTAAACGTAGCAAAATAGGTTCGGGTACAAGAAGACCATTTGAATGCATCCTTACAAGATTCCTCATTTCTTTTTCTGCCCATGTTTGCACCATTTTTCTAGGATTATGCCTGCAGTACCCATGTCTAAATCTAAATTCCCCACTAACATACTTGTCCCTGTCTTTAAAGACTAATATAGACGTTTTGTAGATTTTAATAGCATATTCTTGACCATCTTTCGCAGTTGCATGATACACATTTGCCTCTTTCCCCGTGGATATACAACCATTTATTTCAGATATTACATTTCTTCTTAAGAGTTTAAATAATATCATTCTTGTTCTAGGGTCCATTACTTGCTCTGCAGTGGCTCTATCTCGTTTGTCTTTGATACGATTTCTATCATTTTCCAAGCGTTTTTGGTTCTCTTTTAGTAAGTTAGTAGTGTGTTGTGGTAAAGCACTTAGATCAAATTTTTCTACGTTGATCTTGTTGATATATTTCTGGAACAAGTTTTCATTGCCTTGAAATGAAGTGTTTTTCAAATTATCATCGGAGACTTGTTTACTATGCTGGCTTTTACACGGCAAGTAATATACATCGTCGTCGTCTTCGTAGTCATAATCAGAATATTCTTCATTTTCAATATAATAGTTTTCATTCTCTATGTTGAGATTTTCAAGATTAATGATACCTTCTTCTGCATCACAGAATAGTTCATCTTCTGTTATGTTACTTTTCTTTGAAACTGCCATTTTAAATTAATACTTATATTATAGTTTAGTTTTACAACCAGATTGTTTACAGAATTTGAGGTTATGTTAGAAAATGTGGACTTGTCAACTGTCACGTAGTAGTGTGATGGCAGCACTGAAATGCGAAGATAATGCGTTCAGAAATTAGCGGTAAGATTACTCTAGAGCATGATATGTGAAGAAATATTTAATATTTTGGAAACTTGCTATTATATATGAAAATGTACTAGTCTAGATATCATTAAAGTTAAAATTAAATAGTTGGAATATTCAAAAAATTATATAACAAAGGGTTAATATGTTTTATTCATAAAGTATGCAATTTTAGTCATAAATCTCCTGTATTTGTAAACATACTGTTACAATATACAACTACAACTTAATGCTCGATGATAAATCATGCGGATTAAGAAGATGTAAACAACAATTGAAAAAATGATACGTCCGATTCGACCCACCCTTGACGAGAGCTGATCGAGGGGTAGTTTTTTACGTGTGGTTGTCAGGGGGTGGGATAACACGTGCGACATTCAATTGTGTGCTGGTGTCATTACACGAATTAAGCTGGGCAAGGCCCTTCGTCCAAATCGACACTGACTCGTTAACTGTGGCTAATCGAATTTGGAGATAGATGGAAAAAAGTTAGGCCATCAGTCTTGTACTTGAATCTAATTTTAAAACATTCTTCGGTGTTTTGTAGACAAGGGTGGTTATACCGTTGGTAATCGTACACTTTCTATCTATACGCTATGGCAATTGAAATAAATAGTAAACTGTGCTTAGATATCATAAATTTAATGTTCCGTCCTGTCGTAATTTTGAGTAGCTTTGGTTGTGCGGAGGCATAACTTATTTTATTACTAACAACCATTGCTTTGTTTTCATGAATAACAATATAACTTCGTAATTATTTATAATAGTTTTGTTTTGAAATTAATTTTCTTAGACATTTCCTAGATTGCATGTTTTCTTCCGACAGTTAGGTATAAGGTATGGAAATCGCAATACAAAAGAACAAGGAAAGCTAATTCCATGTTTGAAAATTATATAATGTAATATTATTCGTTTACTATAATTAGAAAATCGATGGAACAAAATTGATTCGTACCATTATATCGGTTGGGTTAACAAATTCACGTATAGAAGTTGTTTTATGTGTCTGATGTCTACTTGTCAAAGGACAAAGACCTACAATGTAGGTATTAAATTAAAAAGGGTTTGGCTTTGGTACAGTTTAGGTTATCAATACGGAGCCAACAATTCACTCGTAAAAGCTCGGGGCCTAGATTGTATACGCCTATACTAGCTCCGAGTTAATAAAATTAGTAACAAAAGTTAATTGAGGAAATCATCAAATTTTATGTAGCACCAATTTACTTATTACCTACGACTTTTCAAAATCTGTAGACAAGCTTCATAGTTCATGGAAAAGTTTGTGACACGAAACTGTTTAGTACAACGAACAAAAATAGAAAAAAATATTAATAGGTGTACAAAAAATAAAAAAACTGCTTTTCAGTATGTAAATATGTATAGAATACACGTTACTCCCTTGCACAGCACCTGTTATTTTGCCCTTAGGGGGAAAAATCTACAAATCATATCGAGATAATCCCTTAAACGCCACTAGACACTTTAACAATGAAGGGATGTCGCATGCCCAATTAGGGAACACCCTTAATTTCAGTCGAACTCTAAGCCCCATGAAAGTGACCCATTAAAACATAGTCCATTATGTACCAGAAGGCGATACTGCAGAAATACAAACAGAATTCTGTACTCTATTTCAATAATTATAAATAACATATTTTATCAATATAATTTGTTTTTACATTTAATTATTAAACATAATGTATTCATGGTGCGATCATTTAAATCCTGTTTCACTAACAAATGACTCAATAAATTGATTTAGAAATTGGTCCAGGAAAATTGATACACATATTATGATAAACTTTCTAGTTTCAAGGTGGCTAAGGAATGGGAGACAGTAACGTTATTCCTGGTACATTAGAAATAGCTTCCAACAGTCGGACGCAGTCGCATTTGATTCGAAACGATGAAAATTGAACCTTATGTATGCATTATATCGGAATGCGCGTCTGACTGTTGGAAACTGTTTTGGATTGCTATATGAACGAAGCTATTATATAACTGCTTCTGATTCTAATCATTGACCAATTTTTGGTGACATAATATTTATCCACTACTACTATTCTTAAGTTATATTCTACAATTAGCTATTTATTTTTATTTTAAATATTTATAATATATTTTATATGAGCGTGTGTTTGTTACTTCAATTACGTTAGTTTGGCATAAGTTGTGTCTAGGTTTATTAGGCTTGGCGATTTGTTGTAACCACGATTGATTTTTTTGATTGATTTAAGTCGGTAATCTCAAATTTGGTGAATTTAAAAATTTCTTGAAGTGGGTCAAAATGTTGTGAATGTAAGAGATTTAAGAAAAAAAAAATATGCAAAAGAATATCTTCTGTGTACCTACTCCAGTATATTTCGGAAAGTAAAAATTACTCGTTATTTGTAGCTTTTATATGAACTAAAATTTTTAGTTCATAGTTTAGTTTAGTAGTAAGCACTATTGAAACGAAAACAACATTTTTCAAATTAGTTTCTTTTATACAGGGCGTCCCAGAATAACCTGTACAACGGAAGACCACATCAGATTCGTGGACTCAAAATAGGCAGATTTAGGCTAATTCGCCTATATCAAAAATCGCTTCGTTTAGCCGCTAGATGGCCTCAAAGTTCGAGAAAATTTTTTGAATTTTGCAAATAACTCGAATAGTATTATTCGATTTTGATTATTTTTGGGGTGTGGACTTTTGCTTTCAATCTACACATTTTGGTGTTATATAGAGTGTTTTTTAAACCTTACAACTCCTAGAAAATTGATGTATGGTGATATATTATCCGTTCATCACTTTTTCTTCTTTCGGGCAATAATGACAACTATTTTTTATTTGATAGGTGATACCATTTGGAAGTTTTTGCTCCTCTTATAGAATTTTGATTAAATGAGCGATTTGAGTACTTACAAATTTTTTAAATATATACATTATCTTGCCACCCATATTACAATACATACTTAATAAAGTGCTAGTAGGCTCTGATTTTGTAGGTTGACTGTAATTTCAGTTTGATCTTGTTTGGGATAGCATTATTATTGGCCCTGTTCTTCTACCTATGGGAAATCAAGTGGCCAAACGAAGCGATTTCGGTTATAGGTGAATTAGCCTAAATCTACCTATTTTGAGTTCACGAATCTGTGGTCTTCCGTTGTACACGTTATTCTGGGACACCTTGTATATTTAAATTTTCTTAATGTGATAAAATAATAATCAGTTGGAAAATAGTAAAAAAGGTTTGAGATCTGCAATGTAATATAAAATAGTTCAGTGTCTCATATATTTTATCGCATTTTCTAATTTACATTTTTGTTAAATTGCTTTTCTAGAACGATTTTCTTTTGTGTTTCATAAAGTTGGTATTATTTCCGAGCAAATAAATTATTTTATTCAAAATGCACATGAGCAGTAATAAATGTTTATTTATTATTTTATTTAGATAAATTAATTGGGATTATTTCATGTCTCTTTACTTTTGCAAACATGCAACAAAATGATTTGTATAGAAATATATTGTTAGAAGACAATCAATCGATGCTTTTGATTTGCATGTCTAACATAAAATATTTTAAAACTAGAAAATTCTAAACGGTAGATTCCATGTACCTTTTGAAGAATACTATTATTCTGCTGTAAAAACGTACAGGGTGTTTTGCAGAAAACTAAAACCTGCTTCTCTCAGTTATAACGTGAATGTTAAAACTACTGCACTTTTTCATATTCATAACCCAACGCATTCAACTGTTTCTGTGGCATAGGGACACTATCTTTTATTCTTCTACCTTTTTCTTGTTTGGCTTTACCTCTAACTACATTTTGCCCCATCATGTTATAGCAAGATAACGCTCTGTACATGAAAAATTAACATCACCGAAAGTTTTCCTTGCAGTTCCAAAACCGCGACGTCAATCTGTCACCGCAAATCAAAGCCGCCTTCACACAGAACAGAAGCATGCACAATAGCACCGCCAACTGGACAAAAGTAATTAACACAAGCAAAATACTAACCCTTCAGGAGTCCTACCCCTTCGCACGCTCGCGCCGCACCACTGTGCGGTTATTAAAAGTCAAAAATTGATTGATTAAAAACGCGGTGGGTCTTTTGGTACGGTGGCAGCTCTTCGGCAAGCGCCTGAGGACTGGCGGTGCGGGCCGCGAGTTTTGTTCGTCGGGAATGATTGATTCGCCCATTTGTTTCGTAAAATATACTATGGAATTATAACTAGGTTAAAAGTGGAGTCCACGGGATGTCCCGTGCGTGTGCGACGAACCTTACTGCTTTGTTTTATTGCTCTATTTCTGTTTGTGGGACACGTTTCTGTGTACTGTTCTAATGATGTCATTTTTGGAGACAACGAGAATAAATGTTAATTAATTTAATAGTTAGGGTTTACATATCTGTCACACCTTCGAATAAGGGGAACAATTTTTTAGATCTTTGCATGGCGCGTGCTAATTTGTAGTGATATATATTAAATTTTTTTTTTTCAACAAAAATTTTTCTCTACCTATTTATTTTTCAATGGTATTCTTTCTGTTTATCTGTTCTAATATATACATATTAAGAGTTCGCTAGACTCTCAACATAATGTCTACTGCTATAAATACGATTTTTTGATTTTGGAACATCATTATTTGGGCTCGTCTTTAACAAAAAAGTTTGTAAAGTTTATTGTCCATTTTTTATAGGTTTATTTCATTATTTTTTTTTTCACAGGTGGAAATACTTAAATAAATACAGAAAAAAAAACTATATTTCTCAAACAAGTAACTTAGTATAACAAATGTACATTAAAAAGTTTCTGTCAAGCAAATGTACTTAAATAGTGTATGTATTAAGGATACCAAAGTGACATCTTTTTCTTCATAAGAAGAAGAAAATAACCAATATGCATTATCATTTAATTTTTTCCTCTGTATATTTAAGTATTGTGAAACCTATGAATAAAAATAACTAATAGGGTTATTTTTATCAAGAATCTGATCTGGCAATGAAATATGCAGGTAATTAAAAAAGTAAAAAATGCACTTCATACTGAGGGAAGCCAACCAATAAGAAGATTTTGCTAACATAAGCTTTATTATTATTATTATTGCAATTTCTCTTACTAGTGTTAAAATATACCTATGTTTTGAACACTTGTAATTTTAAAGTAAACAATAAACCATGGTGATAAGTGCACTATGAGAACCGCAGTAATATTGAATAAATTGACATTTGTCAGATCAAATCGACCAGCCAATAATTCAAAATGTAACTGTAACATTTTAATAAATACATCACTCTCGTCTAGCTACATACGCACCTAGTGCTTTTAACTTTCAACATTTTTCAAAGATTTTTTTTTTCGAAATTCCCAAAATTTGTTCATGAGTTGTGAATCACCCTGTATTAAAGAAGCAACGTTATCTACAAGCTATATCTATCATGCAAATACAACTAAAATTAAACAACTTCTAGTGCATATACCTTCTAAACTTACTGAACATATTTCCCTGTGATGTAAACTATTGACAATTTAAAGATCATCAGTTTTCCCAGTGTAGAATTATTTTGAACTTTATATTCAATTATTCATTTTTTCAAATGACCAACTTTCTAATGTCTTTTATTTCTACATATTCAAACCCTATGAATGCAAAGTTTAAATATACAAAATAGAAATACCAACTAACGGTTTAATCTAACAATAAATTAAAATTAGTTACACACAAATCAAACCAATCAACTTTCTACAAAACTTCACGAAACCATCTCACCTGATTAGCGTTATAGTTGAACGACATCTCAGAGAAGACGGATTTTTTTTATATCGACATATCAAGGTAGGCCACGAATCGATGAAGATTGCCAAATTTAAATCATTGACTTAAACAACTCCGTCCGGGCGGGGTAACCAAGGTAAATAATAGTTGATTTCCTAGACGACGGACCTCCTGAAATTGAAAAGAAGTGTTACAATGCTGTATTGCTTCGCTGGCACACGTCTTCGCCGATTCACTTATCTAGATCTGGAAAATTAATCGGTTTGGAATAAGACCAAGGCAAAAATTTGGTGGTTAAGGGCTCCTTAACAGAGGGTACCTACATAATTATTTTAGATTTTGAAAACGTTTATAGAAGATATTTTGAATTTAAATTGATTAAAATAAAAAAGTCAGCTTTATACAAGATATGATACAGGCACAGAAAAAAAGTGGTCTCTTCTTTTGATCATACCTGTTATAATATTTTCAAACCTGCTGAATACGAGTCTGAAGTCAGTTTGGCGCCAGGACTCAACATTTTTTAGAAAATTGTCCCCCAAATCTTCAAAAATGTGTTATTTGCGAATTGTTCTTCGAGTCTGTTACTTTTCTGTGACAAACATAAATGATTAATGTACGTCAAATCAAAGATAAAATATGCAAATGTTTAGTCAAAAAACCAACAAGTTCTTCCGCAGAAGTGTATACAGGTTCGGAAAGTCCCCATGGTACATCGGTACGTGAGAGCGATAAAGTAAGTCATAGAAATCCGTGCGATAGACAAGGATTGTTACATTGAAGACGTTTCATAAACTGAATAGTCACTCCCACTTCTAACCCGAAACGGGCGGTAACTATTCAGATTATGAAACGTCTTCACTATAGCCATCCTTGGCTATCGCACGGATTTCTTTACTTTATTTGTCGCTCTCATGTAAAGGCAGATGGACCATGTGGATTTTCCAGCCCTGTATAGAAGAAAACTTTCGAGAGAAATATGATGGGGAAGACGAGAAGCAATATGAAGAGAGAGACAATGCCAACGAAATGGAAAATGAAAACAAATACCGTGGGATGAAAAGAAACATCCCCAAACGTTTAATCAGATTGAGTTAAGGTGGCCATATCCCTGGCCGAGAAATGGTGAAATTTCTGGAAAATTTAGGTACTGAAATCTTGAAAAGTAAAACGTGTAGAACAAAAGTAAGCACAAAAATAAAATCCTTGATGTTTTGTTTATTCATTGTTACCATTTAAATTTACCCAAATAAAATAATAACTAAAAAAAAAAGTTTGTAAAATATGCGTTTTCTGTTATCCTAACACCACATTTTAAGAATTATTTTCACGTACTTATAAATAAAAGTAAACAATTTTATATGTAGGACTAAGCAAGTAAATGTTATAAGAATATTTACATGTGGAGTTATATATAAAAAAAGTTTGTATTTTCGTAAATTTCAGTACCTAAAACCTTGATGGTTTGATCGTTTTTTGCACCTGTTTATTCGTTTTACTGCGGCGTCTTTGAAAATATTCAGGTGTCATGACATAACATTCCTATTATTTGATAAGCTTTAGATTATTCAGTTATTAAATGTTTGAAATTATTTGTCTTTGTGGAAAACACTATTTAAAGAATATGGGGCCCTTAAATAATCTTATTTGCAACCTAGAGTCATCAAAAGACAGAATATTTATCTAGAGAACTGGAAAAAAGTTTTTGTATGAAGGAATCAAGTTTTCTGTGCATCAATCATGTGAATCACGTTTCGAGAAAAATTTTCTGACTCCTCAAATCTGAAAGCGGTTCTAAGTACTACATAATGGTAGCATCGTTCCAACTATAAGAAAACTATGATAGTATGAGGTAGGTACATCTAGAAAAAATAAGACATTCAAAGCACAAGTGGCGAATTTGTGGAGGTTTCAAAATCATTACTATTATTTTAGGACAGCAATCAGCAGAAATCGGAAGAATATTAGAAGCCTAACCAAAGAATATCTGAATCCAGGACTTTTTAACGTTAGTCAAGCATCTTTGTAGATCTATGCAAGAGTCCACTAGATGTTTAATGAACTTGAAACTGCACTTTGTGGACTCTTACTTAAATTATTTACACAATAATTTAGGTGACTATAACGAAGACCAAGGTGAACGATTTCACCAAAATATAAAGGAAATTGAAAAAGGTATCAGGGTAAACGGGACTTGAATATGATGCCGGACTACTGCTGGATGTTGAAAAGATAATATAAGGTTATAAGTAAAAAGGCAAGGAGAAACCGACTATCTACATAGATCTTTTGAACATAAAAGAATTTGATACAAAATAAAAAAGCTACTACTGAATATTTTTAGCTTGAATTAGATACCTCCTTGGTATATTCCTGAAATGCCTTTTTTTATTGAGTTGAATTGAGATATAGCAATAATAGGGTCTGATCAAAATAACATCTCCACTTTTTTGTTTGTCATCAGGATTAAAATGTAAGTAATTATTATTCTCTGCTTCACAGACATTATTTCGTAAATGTTAAAATTGTATTTGTATATTTTAGGTAGTAATCGTTACTAATTGGAGGTTTTGACCACTCATAAGCATGTAGGTACTTAATATTTTTGGTGTGTTTTGTTCTTCCATATTGGGGATGTTTTATTATTTTGATATTGATTGAGGATGTTCGTTATCATTAATTTATCGTTGTAGTTGCTCATGTACCTAATATAATATTTGTTTTTCTATTTTACGTTGGCTTAGATTAGATTCCCTTTGATTAGGTTGTGTTAGGTTATGTAAAATTAGGTTAGATTAGGTTAGGTTTAATCATGATAGGAAGTATTTTTTCTTCAAACATCCTCAATTTTTTGCCATTAGGTATTTATACTTTAATAACAGTAAATCCCAAATATTTAGTGCAGCTCTTAAATGTCTAAAAATGTTTCCCTTCGACAAAAAACACACTTCTTTTGAGGCGCCCTCAAAAGATACAAAGCATGTTAAATTTTCACAGGTCAGTTAAATTTTCATTGACAATATCAAAGTTTAGAATATTAAGACTAAAAATTCAATTTTCACTTGAAGTAAAAAACCACATATTTCTCAAATGAATAGATAAATAAGGAATAGGTAAATAGACATAACTTCTTGTTGGTTTGAATTAATGTTTTTTTTTAACTACCTAATTTTCTATTACATCCGAACCTCTTTTTTTTACTTATTTCGAGTGTTCCAAACCCAGGAAATACACCTAATAAAAAAACATCGATTAAATACAGTCACTTTATCAAGAGGCTCCTCCTCCAGACATAGAAAATCACACTTTAATAACAGAAGGTATTGATCAAAGGCGTTGCTGCCTGTATCACACCCTCTCATTGGTCCAGGGGTGGTCCAAAGCGTCAAAGGGATGCTGTGACGGGCATCTCCTCTGATTTAGTTGATAAGCAACACTCAAATATTGCGAGTCTTATCACTATCAGTCAGTGAGAGTGTAAAAAATCGGGTAAGTCGTAAAACATTATACAGCCTTTAATATCATTTATCTTCTTAACTTCAGAAAATCACAAAAGCTTTGTTTAATTTTTGTTTTTTCATAATAAATATTAAGCAAATCTCTTTGTACCTATATGTTGCACAATGTTTCTTGTAGGTACTTTGAGAGAAATACTCAAAAATGTCACTAAAATAAACTTCGAGACACGGATTTTCACGAAGTCAGTTACAATTACTTCTGTAATAAAAATTGCACTTCCTTGCATATTAATAAAAATCTAATTTGTCTTTACTACGATTAAGACATATTGATTAAAGTTACATTTAATAACGTTTTATTAACAAATATTTTTCTTTATTGTAATTCAGTGCAAGAAAAAAAATAAAAAAATTGTGAGGGGTTATTTTTCATCCAATTAGAATGGTACAATATTGACATCTGCAAAAGAAATTTGGAAAATAGAATAAAATTTTGTGTAGAACAAAGTCAAGGTATTGATTGAAGTTACTTATTTATGTGATAGTAATACTTTTTTCTTTTATTAATTGAATATTCTGTTACCTGTAGAAAAAATTAAAAAATTAATGAATGATAATAAATCTTTGCGCCAAAAAGGCAACACAAAAAATTTATGTTATTTATTTAAGTTCAAAAAATTTGCCAAAACTTTTTTGATCACTGTTGCATATTTTACGTACTTGTAGGTGCGTTAGCAGTCCTGCTTTCTTAAAACTATAATATTTCTTTCGATGTTCCAAGCCTTATTATAGTATTCGTAATTTCAAAATTTTTTGAGTATAGGTAGGTATACGTTTTTGGTAATTTGGTATCTATAGATATTTCTATTTCTTCAATTATTTTGCTTATAAAATGATAAAACTATGACATACTATAATATCGTAGGAATCGCAATTAAAAATTGTATTCGAAGATATTGAAATATACAAGGTCAGTCAAAAATAAATAATGATGGAATCTATTTCCGATGAAACCGGAAGTCCAACGAAAGAATGATTATCACCGAAAAGTTTATAATGTGACCCCAATATAATTTTCTGCAAAAAACGATTTTTCCTCAGAAGATCAATTTTTCTGATATATGTATATTTTTTTAATTGATACTCATTTGTTTTTCATATAGGAAAAGCGATAAGCTGATTCCGCAAGATTTTTTACTTATGCCTACGCATTTTATGCCATTCAAATTCAAAGAAGTAATAATAAATAACATCATATCTATAATAACACAGAAATTGAAAAAATGTAAAAAACAAACAATTTAAATTGTCGTCACAAGACAAATTAAAACAGTGAAAAATAATTTTATAACGTAACATCATTGCTGGGTACTGAAAACGAAAACAGATTGATTTTCGAAACATCAAGACTTATTGAAGTGCGCGATATAAAGTGATGTGTATTTGTATTTTCTTATTTGCCTGCTCTTTTCAGCATGAGATTTTTAGTTAGGCAAAACTATTTTTATAAAAAATAACCCTTGACTACCTACTCCTTATTACATAAAACTACCATTACTTTTATAAGCCTCTATTGTTTGGTATCACCATGTCTAATATTAAGTATAGTTTTAATCTACAAAAGAATTGTTTCTTTTTCCATCTTTTTGTTCATTAGAACTCAAATGAGTTCTAATCCTTAACAACAAATGAAAAAATATTGTTTATACCAAAATCGAACCATTTTTGATTTTGATGTATCAATAACTATAATGAATTGCAAGACAATATCATGACATACGTAAACCAGCAAATTCAGATGAGCGGAACTCGTAAGATGCACATAATACACTGTGCATCGTTTTCAGTCTGCAGAAACCTTCCACAATTCGCCAGCTGTGTGTAATAAAAGAGAGACGTATTTAAAAATTTTACAATTTAATAATCAAGTTCGGAAAAATTTAGAATGAGTGAAAACGGTGTACTAAGACGAGTACAGTTTTTACATGAACCCAAACTGGGTGTCCCTAAATTCATTAATTTTGTGTTCGCAAAGTTCAATTAACTCGAGAACTGAAGCCTTCTGACCACGCAGAGCGAAGAGAGTTCGTTGAATGGATTATGGAACATGTGGATGCTGATGCTTCGAACAGAATCATCTTCAGCGATGAGGCTCATTTTTATCTTGATGGCATCGCTAATCGACAAAATTATCGCATTTGGGGTTCAGAAAATCCACCAGTGATTGTTGAGAAACAAATGCATCCACAGCGTGCCACTGTTTGGTGCTAATTTTAGTCTGGAGGCAGCATCGAACCATTCTTCTTCAAAACTGCTGGTTAGGCGATAGCAGTTAATGGTGGTCGCTGTCGCAACATGATAAGTCCAGTTTTTTGTGCATAAATTGCAAGATACGGATGTAGACGATACGTGGTTTCAACAAGACGGTCATGTCATTCAGCCCGAGGAACAATTCAATTACTGCACGAGTAATTTCCTGGTCGTGTAATTTCCTGTTTCGGTGATCAGAATTGGTCGCCCAGATCATACGATTTAACGCCTTTAGGCTTTTCCTTTTGTGCTTTTTGAAGTGTAAGGTTTATGCCAACAAGCTCGCGAGCACCCACTCCTTTAAAGAGGAAATTGAACGCTGTAACGGACATGGAAAATTTTGATAAAATAGTGCGTACCTATATGCCTGCAAAGCCTTAGAAGCCATTTACCCGATATGTTATTCCACACATAACACTATATAAAAATTACCATTTTTATTAAAAACGTGTATTTTCTATCAAAATTCCTTCTTGCGTGAATTCGCATTCAAAGTTCCTGTTATCTCCATGATCTGCGCCTCTCCACTCAAGGACAACGAAGACGAACGAATAAGATCAAAGTTCCGACAATGAAGGGAAACTTGTAGTTTACATATGCTGTGGCAATATTATAGTGTTCTAATCGAGTATTTATTTCACTAGTTTATGCGTATCAACTCCCGCAATAAATGTCGCAAAATCCTTCTCTCCGACAACAAAATTTCCCGATGACAACTTCGTCAGATCGCACCCCAGGCCTCGCTCAATCAAATCATAATAAGCGTTACAATTTCTCGGCTGGTTGTTCCCACTAACCGTGCGAATCTTAATCTGATTACGCCGTTGTTTATATGATTGATAATGGGTATAATTCGGGGGCGATAACTAAAGCCACGTGCGTCTGATGATCCCTGGAGGCCACGCATTGCTCCCTGGAGGACGCCGCGGGACTCGAAGTCTCCGTAGTTGAGGATTTTCCCCGTCGGCGCGTGTAAACGAGAGAATAAATATAGAAACATGTGTCAGGTTTTATGAAAATATGGGCCGTGTTGGTAAAATATTTATTAAATGTATCTGTGGGGGGTGTAGAATTCGTATTGGTTGTCAATGCAATGCACATATTTTTTTGAGGATCATTTAATAAAAAAATGTTGATACATGTATTACAAGATACGTAAACCAGCAGATCACTCAGTTTTCGGCACTTTGATCTTATTCAATCGTTTTCATTATCCTTGGATCGAAAAGTGCTGAACAGCGCGGTGCAGAAAAAGCATATTGAATATACAGGGTGTCCCGTTCATGTTTCAAAAAAACTTGTGTGCAAGTTCCTCATGGGAAAATAATAGAGGTAGGTAGTTCATGTAAAGTTTTTTTCTTAAACGCCCTTTTTCGAGATACGCAGTGTGTTGAATCGGCTTAAGATAAAAATGTCAAAATTTGTACACGAGTAAACATCAATTGTGCGTTAAGGATAATGTGCAAACGGTTTCTTTCTGAAAAGCAGTGTCACCGATACAGGTAACTGAAGAACAATCGAAGAAAAATATATTAAAACGATACTACAAAAAAAGGTATACTTGTCGAAATTCGGTAGCATGTACCATTTTCGAGAAAAATGAAGTTGCATTTTTTTTTGCTCACATAAAGCGGAACAAGTACCTACATTAACAAAATATTAAATTGAAACAGGACCTTACCATTGAATGAGCTGAAGACATTTAGCTACCAACAGTATTTGCATTTAAGACTATAATTTAAATTTCTTACGTATCACATGAAACAGTTAAATTGTCAAACATTTTATTAACTAAAAAAAAAAATTAAAAATTGTTTTTTTTTAGTTTGTTGTAAACTAAACATTTAAACAGTAAATCAAAGTAAACAGATTATGGTAATTAATTATCTATTATTAACTAACTTTAGAATTTATATACCTACTACTACACTACCATTACTAAAATAAACAATTGTTGAATGGACTGAAATGTTGATGGACATGAATGCTTAAAAATAAGTGATAAAAACAGAAAAATATTAGGAAACAAACTCGGAGACATACAGAACAAAACAGCTGCACAATTAAGTAAATGTGCAAACTCGAAATTCTACAGTAGATACTGAAATTGTCCCCCATTTCCTTCTTTGCAACTTCATTTTTCTCGAAAATATTACATGCTACCGAATTTCGACAAGTATACCTTTTTTTTGAAGTATGCTTCAGAAAGAAACCGTTTGCACGGATTATTATTAACGCACAGTTGATGTTTACTCGTGTACAAATTTTGACATTTTTATCTTTAGCCGATTTAAAGATAATTAAGGAAAACCATTTGGAAGGTAACAACTTCAACACATTGTATCTCGAAAAAAGAATCTAAGAAAAAAACTTTACATGAACTACCTCTATTATTTTTCCAGGAGGAACTTGCACACAAGTTTTTTTTAAACATAAACGGGACACCCTGTATAATAATCGTAATCTGATTTCTACCCATATCTGTATTTAATATTTTATAATATTCAAGCTATTATTATTTTATTAATAACAATAATTTTATTAAGACTAAAAGCAACAAGATAATCGGTATAGTTGCAAAATGAACTCTTGTGAAGAAAATGAAGTTGGAAGTGCTTCTTTCTTGAGACGTACTTTTGACTTTAGTGATTCACATATTCACAATTTATTCCATTTATATATTCTGACCGCTGTATATGCATATTTCCCTTTCATTCCCTATTCTGTTTCTCTGTCCAATGTACTTTGAGCATTATATGCTGCGCAATATTCCTTCTTTTTATCGAGTTTTTTACATAGTAGATTACTTGTTTCTGAATTTATTACTAATCAGAGAAAAATAATTTTTATGTATCTGTAAAATAAGAACAATTGTGTAGGTAATTTCACGTCATAGTAAAAAGACGTTCTCCTGGACTGAAGGCAAAATAATATTTCAGAAAGCCGTTTCTTCAGATTTGAATTACCGTTTGCAAAATTTATAGCGTTTTATTGTCTCATGACAGTACAATTCTATAAAATTTAGTATACAATTTTAGGAGAAACCATTTTTTAGTGCAGGAACAACCCTGCTGCAGACTGAAAGCAGTGCGCACCCTACTATGCGTTCCTTACGATTTCCGCTCATATGAATTTGCTGGTTTACGTATGCTGTGCTATTACTATAATCTTGAGAAAATATTATAATAGGTTATGCATAAATATGCAGGGTGTTCTATACAAATATATTACACTTTTTTAATGGCACATTTTCTTAACGTATTATGTTAGTCATGAGTTTTATAAAGAAGTTGGTAATAGTCAAGTAGTAGTCACAAATACAAATAGTTTTATTTGTGGTACATCTATTGAAAACATTTTCGTTCGTGAAATAATAAAACATGACATGTACTGACTCTCTGCCTAATATTTTCATTGCCTACAACCACAACAGTTTTATAAATCCAAGTTATTGTTTCAGGAAAAATTAAGGACTTACAGGATTGGTGTTGTACGTCATCCTGTGAGGATGCCATGATGAATACCGAAAACCGAGAGGTGTTGCAGACCATCACATCATGCAATAACGTAGTTTCGAGAAAAAGGTAAAAACAGCAGAACATTCAATGTTTCATTATAATTTGTGTGATATAAATGTTATGACCATAGGAAGTTATTTATTTCAGTGTTTAGTGACGATACGGTGTGTTTATGTGTCTTCATTGTTAAATTTCTGTGAGACATAATATGAATCAAGAAAGTTGAGATTTGATATCAATGCATACCGTAGCTGCCAATGGAATACGCGTTTGTGGCTAGCAGGCGACATTGTTTAAGGTTGCTCTAGCCTGTCCAGTGGCGGGGTATGAAAAATTACGAAAGAAAGGTTGAAGAAGTTTAAAAAAGGTTAATAATATTCAGTTTTCACCATGAAATTTAATCAAAACGAATTTTGTATATCTAAAGCTCAAAGGTAGCCTCCGCTACTGTATTCAAAGTACGCTGTACACTGTTTTTTCCTATCTCGCATAGTTTTCGAAAAATAATTCCAAATCTCATCGAATTTGGCTTACCGTGTTCATGTCCTAGGTATTTCCTCTAAATCTAATATTGTATTAGTTCTAATAAGAGTTCGAATTTTCTTGGAATTCTTTTTGTATACATACATATTATTCTCTGTTATTTTTGCTGTATTTGACTGAAATTCTTCGAAGTTCACCCGTTGGCTTTTAATATATCCAATATGACTTCTAAATAATGTACGAGTTATTTGACAAGTCGGTGGTTTACTATTTTGTTTACGACTCCATATAGCGTGACATACCGCCCTAATAAAATTGATACGATGCGTTTCCCACATCGATCCCATATAAGAATTTGCATGTCCCAGGGATATTCACGACAGTGAATATCCATAAATTATGTTATATTTCCAATGTAACGTCTTTTAGCTAATATTTAAGCAATAGTCGAGTCAATGTCGAGAAATGGAAGTTCTCCATTGTAGCACAACCCTACAATCTTACATACAATATATTTTATTGTTTCTTATAATAAAACTAAATAGAACGTTTCCAATTATTTTTAAGTTTAATTTGTATTGTAAAAATAAAGGAGTAGGTACAACATTTTTTATTTCAAGTTATCGATAACTTTTACCTAAATAGCACAGGTTATCCCCAGAATATCCCCTTAATGTCCTATTTGGCGTATAACTCAGGACATTGTCATCATTATACAGGGTTAGTCAAAAGTATGGAAACCCCAAAAATCTCAGCGGGAAAGCATTTTTTGTGATAAATGGTGACGACAAATGTCTCAGCAATTTTCACGGCGCAACTGATGGAAGATCAAGTCAGTTTTTTTAAATGGCGACTCTCCTTTTCGACCCCGACAATGGAAAGAGCAGAAAATTCTGCATCCGAATAAGACATTGACCGTGACCTCATAGTCAATTGTCAAGGTCAGTTCAAGATAAAATGTTGATTTTTACGTTAAGTTTTTTTTATAAATACGGAATCAGAGGGAGTCACAGTCTTTGAGTAGATATCTGAAGGTACTCCTTAGCGACCTTGATCTTGAGCTCAAGGTCGAAAGTACATGTCAAGGTCGTATCGGTTTTTGGAGTAGCAACCTCTTATTTCAACGCTAGAAATAAGAGAGCGTAGAATTCTACATGTTATTTTGATCTTAAACGTGATCTTAAGGTCGATGGTCAAGGTCAGGTAGAGGTCAAGTGATTATTCTGGCTAACATTTTTTATTTTCGACGATGGAATAGAAGGCACTCACAATTTTTTAGTCACCTCAAGATCAAGGTCATTAAGGAGTACTATCAAGGTAACTACTCAAAGAGTGTTATCCTCTGATTCCATAGTTAAAAACAAAAAAATTCAGTAAATATCAACATTTAACACTGAATTGACCTCGACCATTGACCTTGCTGTCATGATCAATGTCATATTCGGATGCAGAATTTTCCGCTCTTTCCATTTTCGGGGTCGAAAAGAAGGCCAATGAAAAAAACCGACTTGATCTTTATATGACCTTGAACCTTGACCTTCACTTCAAGGTCAAAAATGCTGAGACTTTTGTCCTCACCATTTATCACAAAAATGCTTTCCCGATGAGATTTTTGGAGGTTTCCATACTTTTAACTAACCCTGTATGTGAATATTATCCTGTACAAGTGATGTGATAACAAAAAATACTAATTTCAAAAAACTTCTTTTTGCTCTCCTGAACAATTTACATATTTATTGGCTTTTATTCCCTTCATACACAAGAGTCTACAATAATTATAGGTAACGTTTCGAATATTTTTTGTTATCAAAATTTATAATGACATCTGCCAAGTACGTGTAATAGCCACTAACGAGTGGTACGACGTCACAATATGGCTTCTGTGCGTTTTTCAGTTGCCCGTTTTCGTTGATTATTTTGGGGAAGAAATTGTTGAAAAAAAAATGTGTACTTTCTGAATATGAATTTAAAAAAATGAGCTAAATATGCCAGTTAAACCTTCAAATTATATGTTTTGTATGTATCAAATTATATTTTTCCAGGGAAAAGAACAGCGATATGAGCAGTCTCAGCAGAGAAGAACGACGTCGTCGTAGACGAGCAACTCAGAAATATCGCACTGCTCACGCCACCAGAGAGAGAATACGGGTGGAAGCTTTCAATGTGGCTTTCGCAGAACTCAGGAAACTGCTACCTACCTTGCCTCCAGATAAAAAATTGTCTAAAATAGAGATTCTGCGGCTGGCTATTTGTTACATCGCATATCTGAACCATGTTCTAGATGCCTAACGTATAATTAACGGTTGTATAAATTTAGTTGTTTTCATTGTTACCTCGGAAAAATCTTTTCTTTTATTATGATTTTTCTTTCTATTGTAGTAGAAGTACTACCTAATTATTCATCATTATTTTTTTGTTATTATTTAAATTTATTATTTATATTATTTTGTACAGAATAAATTTATTTTTTAAATTTTTCCTAAACATTCCTTATTTTATGTGATTTTATCTACTATTTTTGTATATGTATTTATTTATTTGTAAATAACTATAAATATTTTAAAAATATAATGTAAATTGTAGTACAGACTTTTATTCACCACCTAAAGATTAATAAAAGACGCCATCATAAATTTATTTATTTTGTTCCTGCGGATACAACGTCCAATGTATTCTGAAATAAGGCCACTATCTACGCAAACACGTATCTCCTTGCCTTCACAATTCCCAGGGGATGCAGATTTGTGAAAGTGGCCCCAGATGTTCCTGAAAGCCGTTTATTTAATTTGGCAGTTAAATAGCTGAACACCAGAAGCGTTCTGGCAATATATGTATGTTATGTAGTTACATACGGGAAGAAAAATACAGACAGCTCGTTAATGGTGTACCTATTTAAGTATGAAAAAAATCTTTCATGTTTTTCTTTCTAGTATACTCTTTTAATTCATTGTAACTTGTAACAGAATAAATATGATTTAAGTCTACAAATCTTCAAAATCGTTACCCTTATTCTGTGTTTGTGAACGTACTTCACAGTGCAGCCACCATTTAAATTTAAAAGCAAATAACAAATGCCATTTCTTATATTTTTATTGACATATCAGACATAACCTCACATTTTAAAGTAAAAGAAAACGTCTCATAAACTTATTTTCTCATATTGAAATGAATCAAGCAGAAGTCTCAAAATTAGTGTCTCAATTACGTATAAAAGTAAATCCTAGATTAAGGAAGTTTAGAAATCCCAAAGGGCCTGAAGAGAGATTAAATAAGTTAAGAAAAACAGTCACGGCCTTAGTGAAGCATGAACGGATAGAATTAAACTATCCTAGAGCAGACGAGGCGAGAATGTATGCAGAAAGGGTGAGTATTGGAAACATTCGTAAAATGTCTATGCTATAAGTTTATTATTGCAGTTAATATCTGATGCAATTCGCTACGGAGACTGCCACAAAACCACCATGGAAATGGCCGACTATTGGCTAGTAGAAAAACAGTTGGTGCACAAACTATTCAAAGTGCTTGTTCCTAGATTTGAAAATAGTACCACTTGTTACACAAGGCTACTTAAAGCACCCAAGCCATATCCAGGTGATCAATATAAGAAAGCAGTCTTGGAATTAAAAGGGAATCCTTATCCATCACTCCTGCCTGACACACACACCAACAGGAATTTGATACATAATGTTTTATTGGACGAAGCGAGGAAAGCCTATAGGTTAAAGAAATACAAGGAGATTGCTTCAAAAATCGATGCAGCAGAGGTTAAAATAAGGGAGGCGGGTAGTAAGAAGACAGATGTAACAGTCGAGGATGGTAAAAGCAATGTGGAGAGCAAGAAAGAAGCCGAAGGAAGTGATAAAAAGGAGAGCGCAGATAGTGATAGTGTAAGATAGGGTATTTGTGATTTCTTTTTTAAAATATATTTTTTAGATTTAGTTGTGATGTATATTTAAAAGAAAAGTGGACTTGAATTTTGTTTAGTTTGTAAATTAATAAATACATTGCACTGAATAATTATATAAAAACTGAACTAGGTCTGGAGTTTTAACTGGTTGCTAGATAGAATTTAAAAAAATCGTTTGCAAATTTAACAATTACATTGTATTGAATGTTATGTATAAAGAATGCATTGACACTTGGAGCTTTGGCTGGCTGCTAGGTAGAATTTGGCCAAATAATTTATAAATCAATGATTAGTGGTATAAAAATACTGAGAATTGAGATCTGGAGATTTGGCCGGCTTCAACATAGAATTTGGCTAAATAATTTGTAAATTAACAATTGCATTGGATAGTAATATCAAAACAGTAAACTGAGATCTGGAGCTCTGGTCGGCTGCTGAGAGTTTTGATACAATTTTTTTATTAGTGGGAAATAAATTAAAATCATGTTGGACAGAATATATCATTTATTAATAATATTAAATTATTTAACATAAAGAAATCTGAAATTAAAAAGACATTAACATTATTATATATAGGTAAAAAGTATTTTATGCTAAGATTACTTGAACATATACTCAAATACAAAGAAAAAATATAAGTACTAATGTAGTGGCGGGAATTCTTCATCAACGACGGAATGGATGCGACAAATTGGGCAAACGCTGCTGGTTTTCAGCCATTTTTTGATACACTGCACACAAAATAAAATTTACGAATTTTTACATATTGAGTAAAGAAATATACAGGGTGTTTGTAAATAAGTGCGAAATATTTTAGGGGGTGGTTGCCGAAGTTATTTTATGAAAAAAAGTTCATATAAAGTCAAAGTATGCTTCATTTCTGAGATACAGTGTTTAAATTTTAATTTTTTATTTATTTTTATTAATTATGTCGAAGAATTTTAAAGATATTGACTCGAAATTTGATGATTGTATTTTATTTAGAAATATTGACAGTAACCTACTAGATAATGTATCAAGAGAAATTAAAAATACACGGTAAAATATGTTTTATTTTTTTCCTCAAAAACGGTGCATCCTATGAAAAAAAATGATGGGACCAATTTCATTCAGAACTGATGGCGGATTTCTAAAAAAATATCAAAATGGCAAAAAGTCAATGGCATACGATTTTTTTTATTAAAAAAGGTTTATGGTATTCTCCCACGAACGCCACTGGTGCAAGTAGAAATATTGGGATCACCCCAAAAAATGTACATTTATCCCTCCAAACCCTTTTTCAAATTTCGAGTTAATATCTTTAAAACTGAAATAATAAACAAAAATAAATAAAAAATTTAAATCTAAACACTGTATCTCGGAAACGAAGCATATTTCAACCTACGTTTAAATGAACTTTTTACATAAAATAACTTCAGCAACCACCTCCTAAAATATTTCGCACTTATTTACAAACACCCCGTATATTATATAAATTAATAAAAATTGTCATGATTGTATTCACTGCATATTACCTCTTTGTGAAACTCATGTTGGCAGGGAAGAATGTATTTATCTTGCAATGAAAATTCTTCAAAGCAAATAGAGCACTCGTTTTCTGTGTGAGGGTTGTGCCAGTCCACATGTGGTGACTTGGGGGTTACCCATGCTGCTTGTTTTTTCATCCTTAATAAAATAGATACATATATAGTATTGGTATTCCTTTTTCTTCAGCTGTAACGTTGCCTTTCATAAAAATCACCACAAAATTCTGCTTTTATGGCATTTCTGCATTATTAAGATAGCTTTTTCAAGTAGCCTCCTTTTAAAGGAAGAAACAATAACAGATATTTGAATATTAATCAACATGACTTAAAAAAGAAATCGTGTAAACCTTTGTCCATTCTGATGTTATAGCTGTTAGACAAGAATGGATGATAATTTTCTTGAAGTTGTTTTCTTGTCTATGAAATTATTTGTTTTACATACTTGGTAAATATAAGTTGGAGGAAATATTCATTATCAAAGAGTATATATGATTTCATTCACTAAGAATTAAAAAACAAAATAAAATTATCTTAATACCTGTAAAGTTCAAGCGCTGATAAAAAAAATAATAATTAAAGAAAGAACTACATAGAAATAGCAAGTACAAATTTCACAGGAAATTTTCTCTCAACTTACCGAAGTATTATTTTAACGTCGTCAGCAATTTTTTCCTTTGGAAGATTCGACAACGTGCCTTTGTTCTCCTCCAGGAGTTTCAACAAAGCCAGGGTCACTTCTTCCTCTGTCGCACCTGAGCAACGTTCCAGGACATAATCTAGTAAGATCTAAACAAACATTTCACAATAAAAAATTAATTAATTCTATTCTTATTGATTTCCTGATTAGACCAACGTTTCGATTTATTTTAAATCTTCGTCAGAGCTAGTGAGACATGACTTACCCTAATGAAAATATGAAACAAATCGCAACACTGGCCACTTCCACTTACATTCACACAAAAAAAATCGTAACTTACTATGTCACTCTCTTTTTTATTGTCCGCCTTTGAGGTACATGCTCCCTTCTTTGGGGTTCCCCGATTGCACGCCTGCACCGGACTTATCTTTGTCCCTCCGGATTTGTCAAGGAATTCCATGGATTTACTCATCCTCGAGTTCTGTTGAGAGATTGGTTTCAGTTCTTTAGTAGTTACGATCAGTGTAGTAGGTTCGGCAGGAGGTTTCTCCTTTTTTGGAATTTGCTGCATTTGCGGTTGATATTGAAGAGGCACTGAAGTAAAAAAATATTTGATTTGTGTCTCACTGACACAACTGCAAGAGTTTTGTGGATACATTTCAACACTTGGAAACTTACAATGACTTCATTCTGCAAATATGCAATGAGCAACCGATTGCGATGAACAAAACCTCAAATTGTTCGTAAAAAATTGCTGTTGCTGATTAAAGTTGGTCGGAGGAGAAATTTTGAATGCTTTGTTATGGGGCGCTTTCACGTTCATAGTTTTAACTTGGAAAATTCATTCTTACTGCATTAGATGCGGCCCTTGGATTTGTTAGCACTTGCTTCGTTCCAATGTGTTTAATGGCTCGAAGATTATAAGTAGTGACAGGCAGAATCGAATATTTTAAAGAATCAAATACTTGCTTCTCGAATACTTTTAAGCCTGGCGACCATCGAGAACTAAGCATTCAAATGCTCTTGCAAATAGCCCGGAACGATAAATTTTAAGTCATGTACTACCAAATTTTTCATTCGAATTCTCCCATTTCTAGTTAAAGTGAAAGAAAGATCGTTTCATGTTTCGTTACATCTCAATTTCTGGAATGACACCCCTCTTGACGATTTCATAAACGTGGCAATGTCAAAAAGTATTTTAAAAGTAATTCAATCGCAAAAATATTACCTACCTGAAACGCCAGGCGTATTGGAATAAACGAGTCTCGGTCCTACAAATATATTATTCTGTGGTGGAAATTGGGCCCGTTGGATGTTGTACGGAAAATTGATTGGTGCCATAGTGGGCGGGCGTTGCATCTGTGCCTGACATTCTGTGTTGCTAAAACGAAATGAATATCGTTAAGGCTTCGTTAAAGCTGCCGATTGTTTGTGATAGGTTCAATGAATTTCTTAATTAACTACTTACTATTTCCAGTACAGCTTTTCTTCGGTTTGTATAATGTTTCTTATAGCTGCTTTAAAGTTATTAAATATTATGTTATCCTCGAGTCTCGGGACTTCCATAATCTCTGGCCATGGTGTGTTATATATATCAGTTTTAATGATGTCTACTCTAACGTTCTGATAAAAACTCTACAAAAAAAAATTAACTATGAACCCTATGGATTTACCACGATCAAATTTGCTGTTTAAATATGGTTCAGTTTTTTTAAATTTGTAACTAAAACTAAGAACTGAGGAATTAGTGGTAGTGACAGAACGGATGTGACAGAATTATCGGGGTTATATACGTATAATGAGGTTCCATCCCTAGCCTCCTTAGAACAATATAAACCAAATTGGACATCAAAGCTGGCTTAGGAGTTCTTATCGCAGGTTCGCCCTCACAGAGCCTGGCCCGAGAACAACAAGGGCAGGTCAAAGATTCCTAGCTAAGGCTAAAGAAGTGCAATGTATTCTGAAAGTGGCGGTAACCATTTACAAAATTTAGTAAAAATTCCTTAGAATTCCCAGTGATAGAAACTCTTAACTTGGATACAGTGTACATTTATACTCACATTGAGCTGTTCTAAGCCTCCTTTAACTTTTCGCAGTTCATTCTCCCACACCTCGATGCCTTGCCTACAAATATTATCATTCGGGATACTTTTTGGAGTTAGAAACGTTAATAAGTCCTTTAAGTATGTAACCATGAAGAGAGCCTGCTTTTCCGAACTGAAAATTATGAAAATTAATGCCTTTCTCGCAATCGTAAAGTGAATTTTTACATTTTATAATGCTGTCTGTGCAAGTTGTACTTATCGTTGACCTGCTCCACAAGCAATTTTTGAAGTGAAACGTTTTTCTCGTTCTCCATTTTCTGTTTCTTTTCACTTTCAGCCAGTTGTTCCCTGTAAAATTTATGATATTAAAAATATTAAATATTCATTTAAAATCGTAATTATTACTTCAGTTTTTGTATTTCAAACTTGAAACTGGCGGTTTTCTTTTCAAACTCTAGTTCAACGGTCTTCCTAGTCTTAACGTCTTTATTTATTTTATCCTGCAGTTCGTTTATTTTCCTGTTGAGTTTAACAATTGCGTCGTCTTTCTTTTCCTGCAACGCCAGGCACTTGTTCTTTATTTCCAGTATGGCGTTTAGTACCTGAGAGTCGCTATTGACCTGTACCTGAAATTAATGTAAAAGTCTCAACTGTTACAACAATTTTATATTTATAGATTTTTGACCCAAGAAACTGTCAAAATACATAGTGTGTATAAACAAATAGTTTGAACTAAAACTAATGCAGCAGCAGAGAGTGGAACTGCAATGGAAAATCAGTTCTATAAAAATAAATTGATATTGTATGACTGCAACGTGTTTTTTTAAAGTCACAATATTTTTGTTGTTAACATGGACTTTCGTCCATGTCAAAAAATTTTCTCCTGCAATTTCTGGGACAATTTATTGAAGCTAGCAAAATTTACCACACTTGTATGTATCAAAATATGTAATTTGTCCAATTTCTTGGGTCAAAAAGTAGTAAATGTTAGACAGGTTTTAGTGTTTTAAATTTATAATCATTACCTCTGCATTTCTAGTTTTGGGTCCCTCAGTTTGAATGTGTTTATGGTTGTTTTTTGGTCTTTCAGTTTGGGACATTGTTGAGCACTGAAAGGGAGAACGTGGGTAACATTTTTTCTGTATAAGATTCACATTTGAGAAAAGTATTAAAAAAGATGAAAATTTTATGAAAAGAATTATTTTTTTAATTCTGCTAACATTTAAATGTATAAGAATGTAATTTTGAGTAAGCTAATATATACAGATTATTCTCTACAAAGCAATGATAGAAATGTTGTTGATTTTATTTTGATAACGCAATAATGCACTATGCATATAGTCATATAAAAACAGTACAACATTTAATATGTATAGGTTGTCCCCAGATCTGAACAAACAATTTTAGATTAGACACTGGATACTTATTTTGAAAAACGACTCTATTTGTTTAAAAAACAATCTGTGATGTATTTTTATTTCTGAAATATGAAATAGGTTTTGTTCTGAATAAAAAAAATTCTTTCTCCATCCTGTGAAGTTAAAAGTACCCTTTCTCTCCGATCAGGAGAAATTTTATTACAAGAAAAATGTACATTAATGTCCCAAATTGGCTGCGATCTTACAAATCAATGATTTAACAAATAAAAAAATGTTAAGGTAGGCAAATTACTTTGAAATTTATATGGTATTTATATCGTAAAAATTGAATAACTAATTTTGAAATGAATAATTTTTCTCAATAAAATTTTTTGAAAATACATATAATGAGCCATTTTTTTAAATTTTGAATTCAATAAATTTTTTAAAAATTGGCTTAAAACCTTTAAAATAATATAAAAAATACCGAGGGATTAGATTAGTAATTGACAAGACATTAACTTTGAAATTGTGACCCCTTTCTAACAACGCGTTAATTATAAATGCTAAACACCCTGTAATATAACGAAGATTTTGTAGGAAATGAACTTTTTTCTGTTAATTTGTGATGTAGAATTAAAATTTATTAACTATTTTATTTCCAGATCGAACAATTTCTACAATTTTTTTTTATTTCCTCAAACCGTTACAGACTTGGTAAAAAATCCTGCTAATTAAGCTTTTCGTGATTAAATGATAACTGTATTTATAAATAGGAAACACTCACTTTGGACCTTTTTGCTATGAAAAGTCTGTCCCCGTCAATTTCGATAATAGATATAACTTTAGCCATCTTTTTAAAAAGTTTTTTTTTTAATTTAAATATTCGATCAACTAAATTACAATCCACGTTCACAATTGACAACTTATTTTCTGATAGGAGTGCAGAGCACCGATAACAATAGATAAGGCTTATCTATTTAATCTGTTTAAAATGTACATACTAATCATACTGAATATAAACGATATTTTCCTATAAACATTATCATTCGCTGATAACATTATGTTTATCAAAAATAAATTTAGAAAATCATTGAATAACTCACAGTTTGTTTCTTTGAAATCAAGTCTTTAATTTTTTTCACCTCTAAGCCAGTGCCACAGGCATATTTCTGGTAAAATTCCGCGCACTGGGCCACATATTTTTCAAATTTGGCGTGATCTTCGCCGAGCTCGTTCTTCCTGGGAATACCGTTGTACAATTTAGCGTGCATGCATTGCGTGCACTTAGTTGCAAATTTGTCGTTGTAATAGTTCTTGTGATTTTCACCACTCGCCAGGCACCACATCGGGAAAATTTCATGGTGAAACATAGTGTGAAGTTCAGTTTCTGATATGGGCGATTGTAATTGCGCGGTTTTATTGGCTACAAAATCGTCGATTTTGCACCCCCAAGTCTTGTATTTCTCGAACCGAGGCTTAAAAATGATGTTTCTAGTAAGTTTCTCCCCGTATCTACAAAGAAAATGTGAAAAAAAATATACATAGAAATACTCAATCTTAAAGATACATACCCAAAGAAAGCTATTTCTTCGTATCTGTCCACTTCGTGTCTAATTTCAGAAGGTTCTGGTAACAATTCCTTGAAAATTTCTGTACCTTGATCACTTTCTTCTTCATATATATAATCAGCGATTTCATTACACCACGTTAAAGTAGTAAGCCAACTAAAATTTAACATGTTAAAACCCAGTTTCAAACAAAATACGAACTAATTACTTCTTTCTGTGAAAATTGAGCAAGACAAGTAAAAACATCGGAAATAGCCTCGTTATAAACTTATTGTTCAACTCCTTGATAACATCTAACAAAACGCTACTTATTTCCTCGTCTTTAAAACGGTCTGGGTTCATCAGAGCACTGTAACAAAAGCAGCATTTTATGGAATAATCTGTCTCCACAGATAATTGTAACTCATCAGGATAGGGTTCCTTTTTTAAAAAGTGAATTACGCTGTAATAATTCTTTGTTGCCATGTCGTACGATTTATTTCGCAGTTCATTTTCAGCTTTATCAAGCAAGCTTTTGAACTGCTTTCTTTTCGTAGCAACAACATCCATTTTTTTGTCTTTTTGTTTCTCAAATTCTTCAATAAGGAACTGTTGGAAGATATTTTTGGTACTGGCGTCCATCTGTAAGAAAAATTATGTTAAAATTACAAGAACTGATATCTGTATGTAGTTAAACTTTACAGGAAAATCAAGTGATAAGAAGCTGTGTCACCACTTTATAATTAACTGCGTTGGTTTGTTGTTAAATTCCTTTAAACAACGATAACGTGGCGAGCTGGCTCGGACAAAATAAACAATTCAATTTTGCTGATTTTGCATATAAAGTAAATATTGAATGCCACTTACATTGTAGAAATCTATTTTGAGACCTCTGCTATTATTTAGTAATAGTTATATTGAATTTGCTGCTTTCAACACAAAACTGATTCCTAAATGCTGTCACAAATTGTAATCACAATAATAACATATAATTTAACCTATATAAACTATGGCTACAAACTTGGTGTTATTTTCAATTAATAACAATAACAATGTTGCCAGACTATCTTCAAAATGTCTATTTCGACATAGGTAGTAGAACCTAGGTACTTTCAGAGAATAGAAATGCACAATTATTAAGTATTAATTAAATATATTATTGTTATTAAAATTGTACAATAATATCATATAAAAATAAAAAAATATGAAACATACTTATATCATTGTTTAACATTTGTATACCTGCACAACCGCCATTATTCCATGGCTAAAAATTGGCCTCAATGATTTGGGATCGAGGGGGATTATCCCTCTTTATCCTGCCTCATCTCGTGTAGGCCTGGACAGCCTTCGTAGGTGGGCCCCATCCGTCGTCTACCCCGACCGCAAATGCGGCCGGTGTAGGCGCTTTGTGGGACCTCCTTTTGTCCTGGCTGGGCCCCGCCGGCTAGGGCCCTTTCTTCTGGCGCTCTTCTTGCTTCGCCGGCTCGTCTGCGTAAACCCCGGGGGTGGTGTCATGTTTATGGTTGGGCAGGGTGGTGCGGCTATGCAGCCTGGGATGCGCTTTGCTAAGGTGGCCCTTAGGCTAGCGCGGGAAGGGAGAAGTAAGTAGGGTATGGGGGGGGGGGTGTATGTGTGTGTGTGTGTGTGTGTGTGTGTGTGTGTGTGTCGTTGTCTTTGTTTCTTGATCCTGGCTGTCTCTGAAACAGAAAAGGTTAGCGCGCGGGGGGGGGGAGGAGTCGTTGGGGTGGTCACCCAGGGTCAAAAAGTTGATGACTAGGTCTTTTGTGTTTGTCGGTCACGTCGGGTACGTAGTCAACGGCTTGCCTGAGTAGGGGATTGTCATGTCTAGCGGCTACGTCAAACCGTTTCTCCGCGTTTTGTCTTATTGTCTGTATAGCGTTTGTGTATTGTAATTCTCGTAATGTTTTTATTACAAATACAAATTAAGCATTATCAGCATTTCAAATAGTAGGTAACTGTACGAATTTTGAAAATTTAAAACAATGAATTAAAAGTTCGTCGTAGGTGCAACAAAAACTAAATAAATAGTAGCAAAATACAATTCCTCTGGTTCTTGTTCTTACATTAGGGACATTTGGCAATAGTGTAAGTCAAGAGGGATAATCATTTGAAGCCGGCGGTATCAGTTTTAAAACGAGTTCTGTCTAACAGGTGGCGGTGGTTGTCGCCATTTGACAGGGATTTCACCATTATTTGACTTTGAATGAAAGATGTTTTATAATTACTTCTTGTATATTTCGATAGATTTCAATGATGAAAGGATGATATGTAGTTAATATTTACCTATATCAGACTTAAAAAATAGCAGTCCATACCTTGATTAAAAAATGTATTCCAATTATCTCAAAATTGGAAATTTTATACAGTTTTGGTTCTTAATGAGCCACTCTGCACATGCCACATAACAATTGTAAGTTTCTTGCAAAAAAAATATTTTTAGTTACAGAATTAGATATTTATGTGATAACATTATTTTACATTCTCATGAAATTGACAAAAGAAATTTTTGTTACAATATGTGTAATACACCAATTACACGCGATATCTGATATGAAACAATAATAGTCTATTGTTTATTTATTCCAAGTATAATTGTAAAACATTTCTTTTGTTTCACCAAATCTCTTATTATCTTTCTGATATCGAATGGTACCTACTTAAATTTGATATTTCTCTAAAAGTGGCACTAAAATCAGATAATTTTTAGTGTTAATATCCTTCAATTATTGAGGTTTGTTTAACGGTGCATAGCAGGACATACACAAACTGTACAGAAAAATTCCGTCACATCAAACCCACCAGATCACACTAACCACACGTTCATACTAGAAAGCTAAATCTGTGATTTTAAAAACGTGATATTTTATCAAGTTAGAGATTTTACAATTGTACCGTTATGAGCAACATATAGTTAGCGACATAAAAAAGGAAAGTGGTTATGGAAAGTATACCTAATACACGAAAAATACATGCTTTATGCACGTCAACATAGTAATAATATTTATTGTGTCCAATATTTAAAAAATGAAATTGAAACCTCTTAAAAATTGAATATCACAGAAAGATTATAAACATGTGTTGCTATTAAAATAATGAATAGATAATTATTATGCTGACCTTAAAGTGTTTTTATTAAAAAAAGGAAAGATGCCCAATATGCTATATTTTACCATGTTTTGAACGGTATCTCTTTATTTTATGTTATCTGTGACAGTTTACAGTTTACATACAGTTTATTGTACACTGTACAATATAACTGCAGTTTCTAGCGCATGATTAATAACAGCGTTGTGTAACAATCTTCATTGCCACTTCTATCTCCAGCAAAGAACGTTGTACGGCTACAAGGAAGCACGACCGACCAGTTCTACGTAAAAATCGAAAAGCGAATGTGATCTACATTTCGCCTCTGTACTTTCAGTTTCCTTTAAATGACCTAAATGAAATTAATAACGGAGATATGTACTCGATTTTATGCCAGCCTTCGGTTCTGCAGCGAATTGTTGGCGTAATTACAATGTTAGTTCGTGTTGTTTTATTTTATTGTTTGTCAATAAATTCCTACAATAACCAGATTTTTGAGCACACGATTGTATCGCTTTTTAGATAAAAACATTCAGCTGAAATAGCAACACTTGTTAATAAAGTTTTAGTTTTGTGGAATAAATAAGTAAATATACAGAGTGTTGTATAAAATTACGTCAAACCGTTAAAAACGATTGTTTGATTGAAAACAATTCGACTTTCTCATGTTATTTTTCAATTAGATGGCGCTTGCTCAAAAAAATTCGATTTTACTGTTTAGAATGTACCTATTACCTTTTCAAAATTGTAATTTATATATTATATCTAACAGCCAGGTTAAATCTTGATTTATGTCAAAGTTCAAAAAATTTAAAATAATTTATTTTATTTTTTCCTATGCCCATCTACCATTTAGAGTAAGGCTAGTTTTCATTGAACTAAATATTATAACATATATTTCTATCTACAATCCGTTTATGTCCTGTGCATGCCATTTCTTTATTACCTTCCCTATTCCGTTGCTACTTCTTCAGCATTATCACATATGGAATGTTTAAACTTTTCTTGACCCTTCTGTATAGTTTTTTCCTATTTCCTTCGTTTCATAAATACACATTCTACACTCATGTCTAAGCATCTAACTTGTCTCCCATCAATTTTTCATTTATCAGGTATATTTGTAAATTCTGTTTTATTTCTTCTTTTATCTCTTGTACTATTTTCTATCGAACGTAAGAATATCGTTTCCATTGCGTTCATTTGTGTCGTGTGCTTTTCGGTTAATACCCATATCTCACTACTATATAGGTATCAGCTTTTCTCGTATAATTTTCGCTTCTTATATACATAACAATTTATTCTTCCTGTTTTTCTAGAGTACCTACTTCTTTCTGATCCTGTTAATTATTAAAAATACTGTCTCCTTATTTTCATTATTTAAGTTCCTCAGTGATGCTCTTTTTTGTCTGATTTGGATATCATATATTCATCATATTATAATATTTTCTATTTCTCAATTGTTTTAATGTTCTATAGAATTCTTTCTGATTTTGTTTGAAATTTTGAGGCATCTTTTTTTCAAACTATTGCCATAAATTTTCCTTAGCATTTTTTTTACCACAGTTTTCACTAATTTCTGTTTTTCTTTCAATTCTTCGTAGTCTTTTACTTCTCTGTTTAACTCTTCCATTTTTGTTTTTTGTTTTTAATCTTTTGTTTTCGTCATTCTACCATTCTGTTGTCTGTATGTTTTGATTTGTTTTTGTTGTGCCACAGTTTTCTCTCACATCTTCTAGTATACTGCTCCTTCCCAATTTTCTTCAATCTATCCCATCATTATTTTCACCTAATCCCTTTCAAATTATTTTTTTAAATTCGTTTTGAATTTGTATCTTTTAATTTGTAGCATTTTATTTTCTCGATTCTTTTTCTTCTTCATATGGCGTTATTTCATTTGTTTTTTTTTTTTCATCTATAGGTAATAATGATCACTTCCAATATTTGCTTGTCTTGTAACTTTCACATTATTTACCTTTTTGGATTTGTCTTGCTTACGAAAAAATAATCTATTTTACGAAACACGTGTTGGCTGTTCTTAAATACTTCTAAATCCTTGTAAAAATAAGTTGAAGAACAATTTGAAATTGTTCATTTCTATAGTATCTATGTAAATAGTAAACAAGGGTCAGATACAATCTGTATTATTTCAACGAAGACAATTTGTTGCGGGTTGCCTAAATATGTGACGTCACACTAAAAGAGTCTTATTATATTTTCTCCTACATCCGTTATCTCATTATGTATTTGTTCAAAAATTGCATTTTTCCTTCTCCTTCGTTTTCTCCATATTTCATTCTTTATGAATTTATATTATAGGTACAACATATTTTTTGTCCACTACATCTTTCATTCTGTCTGATATCTAATGATATTACAGTCACTCCGATCTCAATTGAAGAACCAGGAGGTTGGTAATATGTACCAGGTTCGGTAGCTGACATTAATATTTATTTTGCCATAGCCATACAACATGGCATTTTGGAGACCTTTTGAAACGGAACAAAACGAAATTTACCATCAATATAATAAAATTGTATGAGGACATAAATAATTAAAATATGTTGTTGGTCAAATGGACATATAATAAAATCTTTCTACACATTATATACAAATTAATATAATTTTTTAACTTTAGCAGAGAACTTTTTTAGGGACGCCTATGAAACTCATAAAATTTTATTGCTAGGAGTTTTTATACATGTTCAATTGACTTCGGATTGACTATACAACAGCTACCCTTTCTTTCATTCTTTCCTTTTCCCTTACTCCTGACCAGAACATCCAATATCCCTTATGAATCCTTTTCATATCAATTAAAGAAGAATTTACATATATACACTTATCATACGTTCATACTTTGTTTAAAAGAAAATTGCATCTAATTCAACAATTAATATGTAAAGATATATAGTTACGATATCGGTTTCCTTCTTCCAGCTTTCTTCCATCAATAAATTCACGTGTATTTCCTGAAAATTACCACTATGTTAGACTTTCCTTATAATAACGAGTCTGACGTTTATCTGCTTTCGTGGGCTCATTGCGTTTTCCCCCTCACTGCTTTCGTTTTCATTTCTTTACACCTAATTGTTAACGTAATTCATCAGACATAACCGATTTCTGTAATAACTGCGATTCCTATAATTACCAGGCATTATCTGCAAGTTATGAATGAACCCATTTGGATCCCAGTTTACTTTTAATGATGGTGGATCGAATCGCAACGGATATCGAAAATTGTTGTTTTTCTGCTCTATAAAGCTAGAGGTGTCGCACGCGAGTTACTTTAAAGGCACAGAAAAATGAAAAAAGTGGCTTGTCAACATAATAATAACAGATTCCTTACTGTACATATACAGAGTAAAATTATATTGTATTTGCATAAAATGTACTATGTCGTCGAATACTATTCTACAATGAAAGTTACTAAGAATTGTAGAGTTGTTTCAAAATATTATGAGCTTTGACCTTGATATGCGCAGAAACATAATTCCGACCGTCGCCTAAATTATTCTACGTCCTAAAAACATTACATCCATTATTCACAGTCTATCTCGAGCTCTCGTAGCGTAAACAAGCCTTTGCTCCGATTACAAATATCATAATAAAATTCTCTATTCTTTATTATTTTAATTTAAACAATAAAAACATATATAACGAACGTTCGCCAGTTGACTTTATTGATGCCCGAGCGCCTTAGTTCATTTCTGGTTGTAATGAGGCACGTGGTCTAATTCTGAGTCAATGTTTTCAAAACGTGCTTATTAGAAGAATTAGGTGGATACACCACACCTTTCGCGCATTTCGCGGCTCATGAGATTTTGAAACTACTCTACGAACAATTTCGCGAATAAATCCTGACGCATTTTTTTACTTGATTTTAAAAATGTTTATTCGAGTCGTATGCCATTGTTATTAATCAGCTTGTGAGGTGTTAGATGTGTATATTATTAAAGGAAACTTCTTATTTGTATAACTTATCTCTTTCTCTCTCTTTTTATTAAAAAAAGAGGGATAGTGGTATAATATATTAGTTGAGCTTATTATTAACATATGGCTCAATTAAGACATAGTCTAGCACGTCGCACCTGTTCGTTAAATTCGTTTGACTTTTTAATTTTTTTGCCAAGTAAATAACGATGCAAAAATTCAAAAATACATGTCAACCTTTTTGCACATTATTATATTTTACGGTAATATCTGAAATGATGGCAACAATGCCATTTAGAGGTTGGGAGAAATACAGTTGATTTCGATAACATATTTTGTTTTCAAATAACCTCAGTTTCAGATTAATTCAAAATCAACATCGGTAGGTACAACTCTGGTAAAGCTGGACAAAACAAAATTACGAATAAAAGTAGTATTGTAAAACTCTTTAGCAATGACTCGGTTGTGCAAAAAAGACCATCCAAAATGGAAGCAATGATTCAGAAAGTGCCCAGCATCAGCTTTATGGTAAATTCTCGTCTTCGTCGATTCTTCCCAGAACTTTATCGTAGTCGCAGCAAGCCGCTACGTGCAACGCGCTGTTTCTTGACACTCCGCGAAGTGAAGGCTTGGACACCATGTCCGTGGAGGTGGGGACGGCGTCTACAGGCTCCGCAGGAGGAGAAAGGCCACCACTGGCCGGTGAGAGGGAAACTGATACAATTTTTTTTCGTCCCTTTTAAGAAATTTTTAATCTGTTCGACGTTGGCTGCCAGTGCGACATTCGGTACGTTGCGGTTCGCTACGGGTTATGTCCTTGTGATCGATTTTGTGATACTGTGCACCCTCCAATATACAGGATAATACTGGAGCTAGCCCTTTTCGTTCTACCCTTCATGCTATGGTGTGTGTCTTTGTACTTTTCTTCTCGTTACTTAAGCAAACTGAACGTACTTTTAAATAATATTAGCAAGTAGCAGCATCTACCCATTTTTGAGTATTTAGTATACAAAAAGTAAATGAATACTAAATAAGTCCAGAACGAAGCGACATTTTATTTTTTTTTTGAAAATTTAAGTAATTTTAAATACCCATAAAAGTTTATCGTATAACTAAAATACCTAAAGCTATATATTGTATAGGTATATATTTTTGATTATTCGAATATGATATATCTCGTAAATCTATTTCAAAATAGTTCAGAGACGCATTCAAAATTTTCTATTTCTTATCTATTTTTATATCCGTTTAATCATTTCTTCCTTATAATTAATGACTAAATTTATAAAACTTTATTCTCAAGACAGTGTTCCATTTCAGAAAGTAGAAATATATAGGGTGTTTCATTTAATCATTTCAGATTTCAGCCATACGCTGAAGTTAAGTTCCATGCCATATGTTTTAGGACAAGATTAGGGAAACATATTTGAACCGAACAATAGTACCTGACGCAAATAAATTACTTCACATTTTTATAACATTTAGTTTCTTTACATCCCTATTTTGATAGTTTGTTTTAACATCATAAAGAAGGTAAGTATTATTTACCAGTCGAGGACGATTTTGCGCCCGAGCGGAGCGAGGACTGGCAATAGCGTCCGAGACTGGTAAATTATACTCAACTGCTGCGTAGTATATAACATTTTATCTGCTCCCACAGTTCTTTATGGTTAATGAAATAAAGATTAAGCTTTATCTTTTGACATTTCTTAATCAATTCATTTTAACATTATTCAAAATATTGCAAAGTCGCCTTGGTTGTTTGGATTTTGTCGTTTCTAAGGTGTTTATAAGCAAAGCTCCATAAAAGTTGCAATTTTGCTGGTTTTGAATAGTTATTTATAAATAAGTGATTTTCAAATAGAAAGTGCAACAAATGCTGAAACGTAAGAATGACGGCTATACACCCAAAAAGTCAAACGATTTTACAAGAGAACAAGTCAACGATTTTCTCGATAACACATATTTGCTAATGAAGGTAGTGACGATCTTAGGCATTGCAGGAGCATCCCGTTCTGATGAGTTATGCGAACTTACTTTGGACGTCAATTTCAAAAAATTCGATGACATTATTGTAGTTACAATTCCAGATTCTAAAAATGGTATGTCACGTATGTTTACAATTACTTTTCGTCTGGGTTCTCTTTCTCACTTAGAAATTCTCCAGAAATATATCAAGATTGGATTTAAAATTAAAACTGAAATTTCACGCTTTTTTATGCGCTATCAAGCAGTCGGCAAGAATACCCTTTCTATGATTCCTAATAAGATTGCATAGTTTTTGAAACTAGAACATCCTGAAACATAGACAGGCCATTCATTCCGAAGAACATCGGCAACGTTACTGCCTAATACAGGACTTGATATATAAGCAGTCAAGGGACATGGTGGGTAGAAATCAGCCACAATAGCAGAAAGTTACGTTGCTGCCAGCTTAAGGAACAAAAATGAAATAGCCAACAGGATTTTTTACAATGACGCTTCAACTTCAGGTTCTAGTAGTACGTCGCATCATGCTGTTCTAATGGATCAGTCAGATAATATTGAGCTTCCGGTGACTGAAATTGAGTAGTCAAATCATTTTAAGAAAAATGTGTCAATTAGTAAACGCGAGGGGAATAATTATTCAGATTTTATAAATGTTACTAAATATAATGATTGTACAATTACTATAAATATTCATTCCAAATAATTAATAAAATGTAATGTTCATCAAATATTTCTATTTATTTGTTCATAAAATATGCATTTATAATATATATATCGAAATCGCTTTTTTCCTTAGGGAGGTAAGTTACCATACTTACCTCTCGTTGTCCATAGCAACTTCCACTTCTATGGTAAAATCCACTTATCTCCTTAAAAACAATTTATTAATAGTCTATTTACTATAGTGGGAGCAGATAAAAACTATAACGCAATGATTAGAATTAAACATAAGTACGTTTTTTCTGAACATAATAAATCCTGTGAGTCAAATGTAAGCTCTTAAGCACCAATGATTTTAGTTATATCTTTTTCAAGTGATAAAGAGTAAGTACCTTCAAAAATCTCCAAGATAATATGAAACAGGTCATAATGGTGTACCAATAAGAAAATTAAGAAAACACCTGAAATTGTGTTACTGGCTTATTTTGGTTACAAGGTCGTGAAAGTGAAACTTCCAACATTATGGTTAATTTACTTGTGTTAAAAAGTGCATTGAATGTTAAAGAAAAGATTAATATAAGAAAAATTTCGAAACTGGCTCCCCACTTGAAAAGTTGTTGAACTTTCTGATTCAGTTACTCTGTCAGCATCGACTGATAATCCATCGAAAAATAATTCTAGGTCCATAACTGGAGCTGCAGAACCTGTTTGCTTCTCCGTCTGAAATAAGCTTGGTCCACTGTAATTTTGGAAATCTAAATTTGCAAATTTCGAACAAAGAAAATAGTTGTAGTTGATTAGTTTTCAAAAATAAGTAGTTATATTTATTGAAGCAACTTATCCAATTAAATTAATAACAGCTGTATGAAAAAAACTACTTTGTTCTAGTTAATTAAAATGTCTTTTTGACATTTAGGAAATAGCTTGCAATTTTTGAGATAGATGTTTCAGCTGAGACTTAAGTTTTTTAACGTCGAATCTCTTTCTATTTATGCATTATGCACACAAAATCGTTTCACTATCTTTATTTGTTCGAAGATCTGTAGAGTTAAGTTTTTTTTTTATTTAACATTCTGTATGTATTAAACAAGGACTCACTTCTTCATCTTCGATTCGTTATTGTGATACCTGCACAATGTGCAAGAAATTAATGTTTTAATATCTCTTCTAATAGTAATTAGTTAGTTAACTATAATTTTAATAATTTATAGATAATAACAAGACGAGATAATCAGAGTGTGTCTAATAGTTAATTTTGGTATCTCAAAACATATTTCTGTGCAACCGTAGTTAGCGAGTTGAAAAATTTACGTAACTTTCGAGTGTCAAGGCTTTTTGTGGGCACAGTTTAGCATAACTATTGCCTATAATCTGAAATTGTTACAATCAGCTTTGTTTTAAGTAGGTAATTTGTTTTGAAATAATCAATGTTTATGATTGCTACAATAATCATATTATTGTCAGTTTTGATTCATAAAATTCATACTAATTGGTTTCCGGTGTTCTTTTTCGAATTTTAACCATCTTGGTTTATCACGAGAGTAGAAATTCCAACGAGTTTTTTTCCTAACAGGTAGGTACGTCACCTGCGGGAGATATGCGCTTTCACATTTAATCATTTTATGACTTGAGGTTCGCTGCAGATGGTTATATAAAATAAAAATATGTATGGATTGATAATATTAATTTCTCAAGTTACAAGAATATTCTGTCACAGAATTGAAACTTGCAGATTACAGACCGACTTAAATGCTAATAAAGACTTTGTTTTGGAATAGATAAGACTTGAACAATTTGATAAATATAATCATAGATAGTAGGACTGTGAAGAACGGTGAAGGGAAGAAACATCAAAGAAGTAAAGAACACTGAGAACACCGAAAAAGAAGAAATTATAGGATTGATAGAGTAAAGGAAAACTATGAATGTAGGTAATGAAGAAAATGATAAAAGAAGGAAAATACAAATCCAAAGAAGAATTTATATTTCGAAGACTACAAAGCTTATTTAAAATTTGATTATTACATAGAGGACCTTTTAACAAACGTTGGATAACAAGAAATGAAATAAGGAATTGAAAATCATTCCAAACCACTCTATCGACTACAATGTTATCTGGAGCAGAATATTTAAAAAATCAGTGAACGTCTTCGATTGTGCATTTCTTTAGCGATAAGGAAATTACTCTTGTCTATCTTCTTATCGTTTCCTTGATAAAAAAATAGACAATCTGGATGATGAATGAATAGTCTCAATAGTTGTTACTTTCACCAAAATTGGGTATTTCTATTAGAATATTTCTTAAGAGATCTCAAAACCTAAATAATACGTACAGAAGCGTTAATTATCTTTTTCATCGAAACAGCCAACTTTTATTCCAATTATGAAATCTTTTATGGATTTTTATAAGAAAATATATGAAAGTTAAAGTTATATTTTTAACTAATGATTTTAACTAACGATATATACTTTGTAAGTTATTTCTCACCCATACTTAAACTGGCATGTTCTTATTTTCGATAAAATGTGACATGTTTTCTTGCGAATAAGCACTTATATTCTACCATCAACGTAGTAGTTTCAATTTTCAAAACCAGTTAAACACACAATATATAGGTTAATACATTACCGTGGCAAAGTACAATAACTGTGTTAGTTTTCGCGATATGAAATAATATAATAATATATATATATATAAAGAAGCGGTGTCATATCATGTCAGGGCAGAAGTCAACTTACATATTCCATTCGCGTAAACAACGATCAAGCATATGCTGTTGTGAAATCATTGGTCAAAACAGATTGAGCAGCAATGCCCTCGGCAAAGATATGTTATTATATACAGAACCGGACACATCGTATAATAGTTTTCATAACATATATCATTCGCATCAAAAAAATATGGTGACTTTAAAATAATACGAAGTAAGTCATATCAAGGAATGCCCTTCAGTTAGTTTAAACAGGTATCAACTGGCAACATTGATAAGGATGTTGAAGCAACTCAAGTCCGGGTGCTGTCCAGTGGCGGTACACAACAGTATAAGTGCCGTTTAAAAAAACAATTGTAACTCGACTACGTATTCTATTTAAAAATATATAAATATTTCAGATTAGTATTCTGGAAAACACGTACGAATACTATTACCCCTAAAAAACTGACTCATATTAAAATTACCGTGTATATTACAAATATAGCGATAAACTTAGAAAATGGAAAATATTTCTTGGTATAAAAATATACCGTAGACGGAA